TATATATATATATATATATATATATATATATACACACACAGTATATTCAAAGCTGCAATAAATGCAGCTTAATTAGATTAATCATTCAGTTCCTCAGTAATGTTATCAAATTTGGTCACACAGTATCATTACAATGATGTAATGATACTGTATGACCATATTATCAGAATGATTGCAAATATTGGGCTACAAATTATACTCTAGTGTAATTTGTAGCCCTAAGTTAATTACAAATATTTGGAATGGTTAAAATCAATCTATTTTTGGATCTCTGATAATTTTCAAATTATTATTAAGGTGAAAGTGTAAGATTAGTAGATTTAACATACAAGGTGTTTATAAATTAATTGTGCAGTTTTAAAAATTAATAAATCTATTTATCACCTTATATGGGCAAACCTTACAGCATAAGCAATGGCAACTATTTTTTATGCATTAATCACAATCCTTCAATGTGTGTTCCCAGTCACACGACACACATCTACATGGTAATCAAATTCTTGTGAGGTTTATTTGGTTATTAAAAAAACACAACTGATCAAATGGTCTTTATATTTTTTTTACAGAATAAAGCATGACATATGCATTTTGGATCAAAGTTTTAATTTACGATCCCTCTTCAGTGTTACTGTATAAAGTGTGTCATTCTTTTATTCTGTAAAATAACCAGATAAACCTCACAAGCACGTCAAATTCAACTTAGAGGACATAACATTGTACTGACAAATTTTGAATATAAACCTTCAATTTGGTAGAAGTTTGCAAAAATAAAACTGTCAGTGATAAACCTTTTTTTAGAAGAATTTCACAACTTTTAAAATGCAACTGTATGATTATGTTGTTTGTTTTATAAAAATTAACACAAAAAACTTGCAACAATTCACTGTAGGAGTAATTTATTTCCTATCCTTTTCATTTACAAATGGTCCACATCAGCCTCTCTTGGATTTGAAGTATTCACTGAGTACATCGTGAGCTTGTGTCTCTTTTCCGTAATCCTAAATAAAAAAATATTTAATTATAAGAAAATTATTTTTTCTATTTATATTGAGAACTTTTTCTCTATTCAAGTTTTAAATGCTAAATTTATATTCTTAAATGCAAATTAAAAAAAGAGCACAGTACTATGTTGTCAAACACTCGAGGCAACAGTATAATGAATTATTAAAATTATCATTTTATGAACAACTGAAGCTACATAATATTTTCTAAAACAAAAATGCTAACATTGTGTTGTCTCAATCTATTTCACCATGATAAATTATAAAACATTTTTAAATGTTCCAACAAAAGTCAAATGTATAAATGGATAATGCTGGTATTAAATTCAATTGTTTTGATTTAAAATACCATCTGCCTGTTACTAATCATCCAATCATTGCCAGTTCCAGACTAGAGCCATTTTCTTTTACAGAATAAAACATTAAAATATAAAGGCAGACTGTATAAAACTATTTCAATTGAACTGGCTTTGAAAATGCCACAATGTAATCCTTGATGTATTTTTTACTCCTTATTTTAGATTGTCCATTTCTCAAATATCATTTTTTATTTTATTTTGAAAATATAAAGTATATTTTTGAGCTTTGTCATGAAAATTAAAAAGAAAAAAGTTATGTTTTTTAAAATGTGTTAAAAAAAATATATATATATATTTATATATTTTTTTATATTTGTTATTTATTTTATTGTGATGGGGTTTATTGTTACACAGGGGTGAAATCTTGTCTTACTCACTTTTCCAATTGTAATTAAAATAACTATTAAATTTCCTTAGATAATTTGATATACATCTACATATTTTTTTCAAAGAATAATGTTGCAGTTTAAAACTGTAACATACCTTTACAACAACACAGCTACAGCCCACAACTTTTCTTGCTTTTCCTTCCTTGTCAATTTTACACAGACCGGCCCACTCACCAAGTTTCTTGTTGCTATCAACCTAAAATAACTTTCACAATGAATAAAAAGTGGTTTAAATATATATAAATTTTAACAGTAATAATAAATGCTTCAGATTAGGAATCCTCATGTTATTTACGGGTATATCAGTAGAGGGAGCCTTAGTTATCATCATTAGCAAGCTTATTACATATTTGTTAATATACTAACTTAAAAACCAAAAATACAGTACCTTAATGAGATTAATTTGATGTTCTGCACAGAGAGCCTCAACAAGTTTGACGTACATTGGTTCATCACAATTTGTGGCTAATACACAGAGATGAGCCTGTCTCCTAGAATAAAACAAAAATTAATTGCCATTAAACTCTTTACTGTTAACTCAAATAATAATAGCATTTTTGCAAGTTTGTGAACTTATTTTTCTTGTATGAAATTATGCATGAATATAATTGAAAATTCAACAATACTGTACAAAATTATAATTAAAATCAGAATTTCAAAGAAATGTTATTTTAAATAGTTTTTGTTTAGTTTGACAGATTTTTTATTTAATGTGAAATTTTAATCTCAACAAATAAGATCATTAAGGAAAAAACATTAGAAACATAGAACAGAGAAGTGTTAGCTGCCTGAATTAGCAATAAAGAGAAAAGTTCTGATTCAAGAATGAAATGAAGCAAAGCTTATATTTTTGCCAACACAACCTTATTTTTAACAAAAACTGTTCTAATCAAATTAGATAAACCATGTAATATGTTAGGTTAACAACTGGGCAGAAATAATTTGAAATAATATTTTAAGATAATAAGTTACTGTAAGTTTTAAAAGGATTTAAGCAATTTTTTTTAATGACATCTACATGAGGCTATTACTGCTAATATATAAAAATTTTATCTGGCAGAGTATCCAAAATTACCTAAAAATGCTTGGAAGAAAACATTTTAATTATGCAATTAAATGTAAAACAATTATGTATTCTAAAGATTTGTTTCCCAACCAAACTTCCTTAATGTTCCAAAACGAATATGAAGACCCAAGGAAGATCTTGCCTAGATAAAAAATGCTTGTCTTTAAACATTGGTTTATTATTAAACAGTACAGGAAATAAAAAAGACACTAAGTGGATTGATGTTTTTATATTAGTGTAAAACAAAATATAAAAGAAAAAACAATTACATTCATTAGAAATTTAAAAAGAAAAAAGCTATATGACTTATCATCCTAAAACAACTATAAAAATAATTATTTGTAATTGTTTAAAATTATTTCAATTACCAAGAACAATGTCTCAATGAGAAAAGTTTATTGGCAGAATTACAATAGAACAAAAATCTTTAATTGAAAAATTTGAAACACATATAGCTATTTATTAATATTTTAAATAATTTACAACAGAATTTAATATATAAATATCATTGCAAAGTAATCAAAAGCAATTAATCTAAAATATAAAATAAATTTGACTAATGATATAATTTAATTTGAATTATTTATAAAAAGTTTTATGATTTTAAATGGAATAATTATGAACATGTAGACTTTGGTGAAAGTTAAACAGAAAATATCCAAAGTTTAAACAAGTTATATTGCTATAGTAATCTCTTCATTTACATAAATTTACGACGACACAATTGAAAATTTTTAAATAAATCAACTTTATAGAAGTTTATGTTATATGATAGTTAAAATCTGGTAACAGCTATGCAGTAAGAATTTTTCATCTACTAGATGATTTATCCTCCAAGTATTGCTTATGATTTACAAATGAGCATTGTAAATCCTTTAGATTTGTAACAATATTAAATTTTTACCAGTTATTCTAAGTTAAGCAATTCATACAACTGACATATCACAAACCTAAAATACTAAATTCAATTTATGTAATACTGAAAAAAATGTTGTCTTCATATTCTGTGCTTTTCAACACATCAGGAACACAAGTCTTTATGGAAGAGTTGAGAGTATTTGAGTCTACTCAAAGTATTTTTTTTTTAAGGAAGATATTAGCTACAAAAATAGACAATGGATCATGTAGAATGAAAAATGTTTTCATGCAATATAATACAATAAAAATGCCGAGGCATTGAAAGGGACAAAATATGAAGACAGTTTCTCCCAATGTTGTGGATATTTTTTATATTTTATTGTTATCCTGACCATTTTATTCATTAATCAATTTATGCAATTCTTTTACTTAAAATAATACTTACTTATCTAATGCTTTTGCAGCTTCATGAAGACCTCTAGCCAGACCATCATGCATAAGAGCCATTTTCAAAACTTCCTGCAGAGCAGTGTTAACATCCATTGGCCCTGCTGCCGAACCTGGTACATCTCTAAAATAATTAAATTTACAACATAACTAAAAAGCCAACAAATCAAATCTTCATGATTTATAAAATTATATATGTATTTTATTAATTATCATAACACATTTATCTATTATACAATATATTCTTTATACTAATTTTTACTTTCCTGGCTGTTATATATGAGGGAAATTATAGAGATGGATAAAAATGACCCCCCAAGATTTTTACATTTTTGGACTCAGGACCTTGAAACAATTTGAGAAAGAAAAAAAAATTCAGGGATTTTTCCTGTATGCATGGAAATGTATGGATGGATGGATGTTAGTGTGTGGGGGTTACAATTTTGTGTTCATCATCCTCTTTGAAGTGCTTTTTGTCAAAAATTTCTGAAATTTTGCAGGTAGGTTTGTGTATTAGTGGGATTGATGCTATTAAATTTTGGGGTTAAAGATCAAGAGGGTGGAGAGATAAAGGGGATTGTGTCATATCTTGATTCGGGTTGGACTCAATGACGATTTTACTTGTTTTTACTGTAAAAACAAGTACAGGTAGGCCTCCTACAACACGGTACCTTTACAACGCATTTTCGCCCCAACGCAGTTGGAAAAATGCAGAAATTTTCTTACAACGCGGTTTACGGTATTTAGAAACGAATTATCTTCACATAACAGAAAAACTGCAACGGATCACGTGATACGAGCCGCAGTTCGGCATACAGTCTTTGAAAACAGCTGTTTGTGAACGTTGGCATCTTATTCTCTCAAAAGTTTCAGGGAAGACCAGTTTCTAGACAGATGTGCATCAGTTACTGTAAACACTCAAATATATCATTAAATTTTCGATCATTTATACTCTTTCAATAAGTGGGGACCGCAAAAATGGTCCAAAATACAGTATAAACTTCTATTGGGTGTATATTTTTAACAACATAGTGAAAGGAAGTTATTTTTTGCAACTTTTACTGTCCACAAAACTGATTGAAAAAATTTTAGCCATAACAATGCTGAATGAAAAGAAAGGACCGTCATTATAAAGGAACTTTATGACTCTTCAAACAAAGATAGAAATTTTGGATCGAATTAAAAATCAAGAGCGTATAGCTGATATTGGTAGGCATTTTAATTTAAATGAGTCGACGATTCTGTCGGGAGAAAAGATCAGAAATTTGGTCGCATCCGGATCATCTATTCTTGCGAAAAATGTTGCTAGTCCAAGAGCACCTATAATAGAAAAAATGGAACAAGCGCTAATATTTTGGGTAAAAGATATGAACAAGAAACGGTTGTCTTTAAATAAAACTGCACTTAAACACAAAGCCTTAAAAATATTTGATTATTTAAAACAAATGGGACAGTCGTTAGCTGGTGAAACCAGTGTTAAATTCGTGGCTAGCAATGGCTGGTGTGAAAAATTCAAAAAATGCCATTCAAATGCCAAGTTTTTCTCTTTTTAGAACCGAATCCCAGTTTTTGTATTAAGTTGGTGTCTACTATAACACAATTTCCCACAACGCGGTATTTTCAAGCAACGTATCTACCACATTGTAGGAGGCCTACCTGTATTTGCATTTTTTATAGTGCATTTATTTACATTAGTGCATTTACAGTTTTTTTTTTATATAAAATCCATCTCTACTCTTAAAATTAAAACTTTTTACCATTTTATAATAATTAAAAATTTTTAGTTTTTAACCTGTCCTACATTGATCCCGAAAATATTCGCGTTGACCTCATTGACCTGCATGGGTGATCCCGAATATTTCCGTGTTTACATCGGAACGTTTTTGATACTAGATGTCGCTTTGCGTCACAATTTTTATATTAAAACAAACTTTTAAAATAAAATTCTTTTTGTTTTTATATTATTCAATATATATACAGTGGAACCTCGGTATACGACCTTAATATGTTCCTGATGTTTGGACTTATACCGAATAGGACATATACCAAACCAACCTTTCCCATAAGTAGTAATGTAAAAATGATTAATCTGTTCTCATGTAAAAAAAGTGGCTGGCTTGAAACACTTCGCTTTCCTGGCTAGTTCCTGCTTGATTTTTCATGAGATCAGCATGTATATTTTTAGCTTTCTCGCAAATAATTGCTTCTGATACAATGTCTCCAGCACACTTTTTCAGTTATCCAAAGAAAAAGCATTTTCTCAACATGATCTAATGTCTTCGATCTCTGTTTAGAAATTGATTTAACCCCTTTCGCAACGTTAGCAGATTTAATAATGCTTTTATTTTTCACGATTTTCGATATCGTCATTCTCGGAATGCAATATGCAACAGTTAAAATCTCGAACAGGCATGCTACCTTCATATTTCTCAACAATCTCTTTTTTCAGTTCCATTGTCATTTTTTTATTTTTCTGTTGCCTTTTTGCAATTCATGATTAATAAAAAATAATAAAATGTTACTTACAAATTAAAATCAGATGAAATTTAACAAAGTTATAAACTGTGGCACCAGGAACATCTAGTCTGGTCTAGTACACCGATAGTGCTACTTGTTCATTGATGGCACGTATAATTGAATTAAGTCATATACCAAGCAAAATTTGTTTCGTCCAAACAGGATGTATCCTAAAGCAGACGTATACCGAGGTACCACTATATTTTGTTTGTGAAACATAAAAAAATAATTTTTTACGATACAGTAAACACAATTATTTAAAAAAAATTTAGGCTTAACATCAACAAAAATTCAACATGGCGTCACAGACAACAAATAAAAATTTCAACATTGAATAGGTTAATAATTAAACACCATAACAGATGGTACCACACATGTAGTCTTAACTGTTGCTGGGAAAGTTAACCAACTTGTTGGATTTTTCATATAGAATCTCATAATTTAAAATACTTTATTTGTTAATTTAAATCAAAGAAAATTTCATTCAATAAACCAATTTAAACCTTTTATTAAACTCTTATTTAAATTGCTTTGTATCATGTCCTCAAATTCATCATCTAATTAAGACAGAAAGCTAACTTTGCAAGCATACCTAGGAAAGTAAAAATATTTTCAAGAAGAATTCTTAAATGATTATAATTACTAATTAGACATTATTAAAAGAATATATGCAATATATATTTAATTTGCTCATCAACCCCTTTCAAACTTTCATTGACCCTATTAGAAAACCTGCATTATACTTTCACTTGTGCCAGAACTCAGTTCCAGACATCAATAAACAGTAGTCTATTGTCTTCTTGCATCATTCTGTTATGTCCTCTTATGAACTGAACACGCATGTATCAATTTATCTCTTATGGACTTTCCTTTTGTATACCATTAGAATGAAAACAAGGGTCATGTAACAATTATTGACTTATTATTATTTTTAACTTTTTAATATTCTTGCATACATCGTTAAATTCCTCAATATTTTGTTTATCAAATCAAATGACCACAAAACTGTCTGGCTAACAAGATACATGACATAATTTTAAGAGATGAGGCAGTTTTGATTATTGACTTGTGGTTTCAGTTTGTAAAAAAAGCAAAACAGCTTTAAAAACCAAAAAAATAACTTCTGTTTTACTTTAGAATTGTTTTCAATATGTAATTGTTGGAATAAAAAAAAAATTTCACTCATTTCCACTGTTTATCATATTTTTATTTTTCCACATTTTTCACAGCTAATTTCAATGTATCATTTTTGTTATGTTTGCACCTGACCTCTGCATTTGTCAGACACCAAATGCTATCTCCAGCTTGATTTTCTTTTGGGCTGAAAGTGACAAGCAAACATTCTGATGGGGCAGATAACATTGTACCATTTTTGTAAACACATGTCCTTGTAATGCTTTGTAATGATTATCGGCATCATATAATTTATTGACAATTCATTTACAAAACAAAAATTAATTTAAAATTGTGCTAATTGGCTATGGATGAGACAGCTACATCATATATAAATTTTTTATTCGAAGTAACAATTTTAATTAAATTACTTTAAAACAATTAAGAAAAATTTTAAGAGCAAAATAGAACTGCACTATAACAAAACTGGATTGCCATCATCATCTAGAATAGGAATCTTCATCTGAAATGACTATAAACACAAAACTAGGAAAGTATTTATTAGATATATAACTCAGAACCACACAGCAGTCACTGAAAGCTGTACCCCATCTTGGTAGTAATACATTTAATTTTGTTTAATATGAATTAATGAATACAATACAATGATTCACACCTAAATCAATTTATGACATCATTATTTATTAATTAATACCAAAATATCCCATTAATATTTGTTTTTTGGTACTTTCGGTTAACGGGATGCCAGCCGATATGTACAGCATTGGATAAGATTCAAACTCTGAATGAGGGGTTTCACACCACCCCAAAATTGACGACCATTTGAAAGATATTCGTCCCCAAAGGTCAGTTTTAACACTTATCAGTCTTTCACCTATTCTACTTGCTTCACATGTAGATGTGTGCCTCCGTGCTCGCTATCACATCAGCATGCAGATGGGGGCAAGTCACCATACCCCCTAAAACTATATAACACCAAGTACTCCACAATCAATCAAGTGGGCTACTTGAAGCTGGCAGTCATCTGAGCTAAATTGTTGAGCAAGTGTCTTCTGACCGTTAACTGAAAATAACCTGTTTTTAATGGAGTAAGGGTCGAGTTATAAACTCCATAACGTATCTGTACCTGTAACTGTATCCATATAGCATGGTTATAAAGTCCGTATCATATTCCATAAGTTTGGATTGATCAAACTATTACAGTAAGGATACAGAGAATTGATAAACTGTGCATGCGCTAAGTTGCCATCAATTGAAATACAATCAGCAGTTGTGCAGGAAGCAACCAACTGTGAGATCCGACCTCAGAATAAGCCCAAATAGTTCATTTTCCCCCTAAATTTTCGACGTATTTAAAATAAATTTGTCGCCTCCTTGTTAAAATAACATTGTCAGAAAAAAGAATCAAATATCGATCGCAACTTATAACTTTCATCGTTATTATAAACATTCAACCCTCGAACAATGACATTCCTCTGCTGCAAGACAAAAAGTTTATAGTTAAAGTCCGAATTCGTCATTTTGTTTTAGTCCCGGGAACAACTTTGACCTCCACACCTGCAGGACCAACTCTATCTCACACAATAGGAGATCACCTTACTAATTTCCCCTACCCGAAGCTATAAAAGCGACTTCTTTCCCCCTCCTCAGGGGAGTCTCATATATACGATCGTCAGAAAGGGTTAAGTAGCGGAAAATTTTAACTGTGTGCATTGATCACCGGCAAAAAGGACTAAATTTTTCCCACCTACGTGGAAGTAAACTAGAGGTATGGAACAATTAATGTAAACTCTCTCTCCGCGAGTTTGGAGCTAGTGAACTAAATTCACTTCCCCCGATGTTAGATTTTTGTATTCTTTAAATTTTTTTTCTTTTCGTTAATCCAATAAATCGTTGTTTCATTGTTAAATGGTGTCCTTTTACTCACATATCACCTACGCCTCGTCGACGACCCCTCTCACCTCCTCCACTCAACCTGACAACAAGAATCCCGACCCTTCGGGACCGCATTCGAAATTTAGCCATCTTGACAAGTGAGCAGGTTTAACGACCTGTAGCCGAAAAGGGAGAGTCGATGGTTCCCGACCTCCCTGGCGATTCACACAACAAAACTTTGACAAATAGGCAACATTGATAGTCAAGAATGTGCTGTTACGATTGCATTGTTGGCAATCAGTGTAGGCGCTTTTATTATTAATAAAAACCAGAAAGGTCGATGACAAACACACCCCATCAACATAAACTGGTCACTGCCAAATTCAGCCCACCAGTGGCCAAACTGTTCCATTCGCTGAACATGGAGAGTTCAGTCGTGGGTTTGCACTGGCCACATGGAGTTTTCTGGGTTTTCTCCATGTCTGCAATACCTGAATAGGAACCAGTCACCCTTAGAAAAGACCTCTCGAAAGGCATTCCCCCTAGCAGATCGACACTTCACCAATTCACTTTATTACTTTATTTATTTATATTCTCCAGTGTTCCCCATTTTATTTTACTAATCATAATCATTTATGCCAGTGTGTTACCAGGTTGAGCAACAAGTAACAAATTGGTTGAAATGTAACTTTTGACTAACAATGCTACTTCTGAACAATATAAAATTTTAAGATAAGAATTACTTTGCCCATAAAAAATAGAATAAATAATTATAGTGTTAGATCTGGCAACATCAGCCGATGATTTTGCACATGCTCACAATGGACTGCTTCATAAGCCGTGAAAAAAGTTTGTTCCTTAACAGATACAGAAACAGACTTATGGTATTTTATAGCTACAGTATTGCTATAGACATCAAGTGTAGCAAACATTTACAGATACAATTATGTTATGGAGTTTATAACTCGAGCCTTAATGTTCACCAAAATATATGCAGATTATGACAAACTTTTAAATAAAAATATGCTGCAAGCATTCAAAATCACCAATTAAATCTCTGGAGAGAAATAATACTGGCACATCCAATTTGCTGGAGTATGATTGGCAAAATACAGATCATGTGCCATAGATAAAATTTTGATTCTGAATTTTTTGATGCTTATTCCTTCATTTCAGCAAAAATCTTTGATTTTTCCCCTCTTTCAAACACCGAATTTTCCCATTCCAATATTGTCGTGTAGATGAACAGTGAACCACAATAACAAATCTTTGGTAAACACAAAGGGATGTTTATTCACCCATAGAACATACAAACACTGCAGCATGCAGTATAAGAAAAACTGCTCCTTAACCTGAGAGCTTGCAGTTTTATAGAATGAGGGCATTGTCGAAATATGTAAATGATAGTGAATTAACATGTGTTCTCGAACCTTTGAGAATGTAAACAAAACAAATCACTTTGAACAGGTTCGAACTGGAGACCTTCCGATTCACAGATGGATATGCTAACCACTGTGCCATGGAACTTGACGAATGGAAAAAGTGAACAGAGGCAATATTTTGTTCTGTCCAATTCACAAAGTAATAACTCTGGAGTAGAGCTTATTTAAAGCTCTAAATGAGGGATTTTGCACCACGAGAATTGTAGACCCCATCCTTTGACATTTTTGCTCCTATGAGTATGCTCTACAGCAGTGTTTTTCAACCTTCTTGAATACGCAACCCCTTTACAAGTTAAAAAAATTCTGGCGACCCCCCCTAGGACCATATTAAAACTATATCAGTGATTTTAAAAACTATGTATTTAATTTTCTCTCTGTTAAGACAAATTATTGTTGATTAAAGTGAAAATTTCAGAAGAATCGACAATAACTTAACACACATAAAGTACGAAACTTCCTTTAATTATAACATTCGGCACAGGAAGATGTTGACCTTTTATTTTTTTTGTTTAGGATCAGAATTTTCAGCTTCTACGTTTCTACTTTTTATTTCTTTTTGCAGATCAGCTCAACACTTTTTCCTCTATCATTTTCTGAGGTGGGCTGTAATTCTTGCTGAAATTGTAGTTTTTTAAATGTAGTGTAGGACCTACAAACACTTGTCTTTTTCTTTTACCTGCGACCCCCCATGTAAGGCTTCGCGACCCCCTTGGGGGTCGCAACCCACAGGTTGAAAAACACTGCTCTACAGCTCTGATAAGGTCCCAACTGTCTCATTCAGAGCTTGAATTGAACCCTAGTTTTGTTTCATCAAAATATTTGCTTGTAAATTCTATAGCTACAATATTGCAACAGACAATACTGCAGCAATTGTGTAATGTGCTTTGAAATAAACTCCAAAAAATTTTTTAAGCAATCTGTTGATTCAAACTTACAATTGTAAACTAATCAACTAAGTATATCACTGATAATTTATTTCCTCTGCCTATATAAAGACTTGACAGTGTCTGAGTCAATAATTTGGAAGGTTCTACTAAACATACTGCTGATATGAATTTAAGGAACAGCATATCATTTTTATATATAAATGACACTATTTTTTTCCGCCATTACGTTGATGTGCATATGGTTCCATTGTTATCAAGGGTTTCAATTAAAAGAAAACCTACAATAAGTATTTTCTTGAGGAAAAAATCATATATTAAATATATACAAACAGTTTAAAAAAGATTTAATAAAGATATTAAGTATAATATATTTTAAAATTTTATTTATTACAAGTATTTTTACTCACCCTTCAACATCAGACATATTTGTATCTTATTGAAATAAATCCTACACAAAATATAATAATACGATAATAATTCAAATAAGAAACATTAAATTAAAAAAAAACATAGAAATAAAGTGGATGTAAACGGATTAATAAAGCAAACCTCTCACAGGTCAATGCAATACGCACGTCCTCCCTTTGAGAGCGAGAGAAAGAAAATACACGCGGTGCTGTATTGCTGGATGACATACTAATTTATTATTTCTACCGCCAAAAAATAGCCATAAAAATTCATTGAATTTCTTTTATTTTCTAATTTTTAAAAATCTAAGTGATAGTTAAAAATATATTTAAATATATAGATTTAATTATTATAAAATTATTTTTGGCATTGGATAGCATTGGTGTTTTTTTAAGTGTCACGACTTTAGTTAGTTCAAAATACATTTTTTTTAAAACTCTTTCCGCCTGTGGGCACTAAAAGGGCATCTTTTTAGCAAGCCCATTATGGGTTAGGCCAGGCCCACAAGGGGGCAGTCGGGTGGTGAAAGACGGGGCCAGACATATCTGAACGGACCACCACCCGAAAAATTCCTGGGGCTTTTTCGATCAATTTGGATTCGATTCCGGGTCTCCCTGAGCGGTAAACTGCCACCTTGACCGCTTTTCCATCCGGCCGTCCTTCAAAATACATTAATGTACTGTACAGTTGATGCTTATAGACAGTGAAAAGATGTAGGTATGTTTCACATGTTTCGTAAAAGATAGGTATACTGGTTACGCAAAAGCAAGGTGAAAGAAATTTGCAGTTTAAATTAAGTTTAAATCTCTTTATAGGCATCACGATCTCGTTGCATGCGCTGCTATAATTCATGTTATATCTGTTATGGACAAAGTGATTAATCGGGCATTATTCATAATGACTAGGCATTATGAATAATGACCAAATAGGGCGCGCAGTGTGATAAATATTGATTCATTTATCAAATTGACCGGTCATTATGAATACTGCTATCACCTAGTCGGGCAAAGTGATTGGCATTATGAATAATGACCAAATAGGGCGTGCAGTGTGATAAATATTGATTCATTTATCAAATTGACGGGTCATTAAGTATTATTAACAATTTTTGGTATAAATTATATAAAAAATTAAATGTTTTTTAGTTATTTATTTGAGCAATTAAGATTTTCATGACATTTGGAAAGAACTGTTGGACAAATATCAACCAAAGTTGGTATGGACAAAGTGATTAATTAGGCATTATGAATAATGACCAAATAGGGCGTGCAGTGTGATAAATATTGATTCATTTATCAAATTGACGGGTCATTAAGTATTATTAACAATTTTTGGTATAAATTATATAAAAAATTAAATGTTTTTTAGTTATTTATTTGAGCAATTAAGATTTTCATAACATTTGGAATTACATAATTTTTTTCTTTGTAGCATTTGCATCTATTAGATTTGCAACTAATTTTGCAGCAGCATCGACTATAGCCTTGGCCTCCAGAAATTGATTACATTCTTGCACATTCTCTAAGTGAAATTTCTGCACCCGGTACATCTCCAACAGAAATGAAGTTTTCTTTACAAACAGTAAATTGGTTTCTGGAATATAATATATTTAATATGCCATATTTGGTATCCAGTTTGTAAAGGTTTTTATCTTTAACCGCAACAACGACACCTAAAATATTTTTTCCATCATTGCAAGCTCAATCTACATCAGGTACACGAATCCTTACTGTATCACCAAAATTAGCTGCTGTGTATTTGGAATTTGATGTATTAATCATTTTTTCTGCTTGTTTTTTAAGATTAAACAAAGCCATCTCCCTTGTTTTAAGACACGCTTCTTATTTTTTCTTCTATTTTTGGATCAATTGTTTGGATTGTTTCTTCTTCTTCATTCACCAATTCTGTAATACTAATAACATCCTGGTTTAGGTTTTTTCACGTGAAGACGATGTAGATCTTTGAACTTCATCAGTTATATTGCTATGTAAGGGTGGCATTATCAAATAATCTTTCATAATGTTTTCTTGGACGGTACCCGGACTTTCAGCGTTTGAGCAACTTTGACTTACTTCGTCGATAGTTTTAAAAAGTCTCTCTAGATCCTTTCCCTATTAACGTCGATCAACGATTCGTTGGGTATAAAATTCTTTAGTCCAACTTTTAACTTTGCTCCAAACATGGCCTCATAGGGGCTGCAGTTTATACCAGTACGATGCGCTCGATTTTTCATCAGTTGTACAAAACGTAATCCTTCCGACCATTTGTTAGTATTGTTAGTCTCCAACCAAGAACTAAGCATATTTTCTACGTCTTCATTACATCTTTCTACTGAACCCTGACTTTGTGAGTGCCTGGGCTTTCCATACACCATTTTTAACTCGGGCCACATATTACACATTTCTTTGATGATATTATTGGCGAATTCTCTGCCGTTATCACTTTGTAGAATACTCGGTGCACCGAAAATTGTAAAAATGTCTAAAAGAACATATGCTACTTCTTCAGCCCTTTTGGTTTTTAATGGTCGTAGTTGAACGAATTTAGTTATATGGTCTTGATACACGAGTATAAATTTATATTCATCATCGGCTTGCGACTGCATATCTATAAGATCGACCTGACATCTCGAGTTCATTTTATTACATAAAATTGGTTTAACTACCAAGCCTTTCTTAGGAACATTCTTTTTTTTTCTGACAGATTTCACACAAGTTCAAATAAATTATGATCATCTCCCTTGTAATATTTTTACATTTCGTACTTAATTCGTTTTCCATACGGTTTCTACCGCCATGTCCAAAAGCAATATGGGCATCGTGCAATATCTGAAATATTTCTTCTGTGTGAACGTAATATTTAATCGCATTACCTTCTTTTACAGGCATAATTAATTTTTCTAAATTTCCGATAGATACAACGTCATATCTACGTAAACACTGATATTCTTCTGGTAACTTAGAAGTAACTTTCATTTTTCACTCTTTCACTTATTGTATCATTGACAAATATTTTGTATGCTAATTTTGTAAAAATTTGATTGTTCTCACCTTTTTCTGCTATTAACTCGTTTAATCGGTTATTGAAGCGATTATTCATATCACTTAATGATTCCTCCATGATCGTAACTTTTGTCAAAGAAGAAAGATTAACTATTGGTCACATAAATTTAAAATTCGGTACTAAATGCAATACGCACGCGCAAGTAAGATGTAAGTTCTGATTGGCTAACGTATGTCGGATAATCACTCCTCACCGTATTATATGATCACTACTATATGATCACTCCTCAACGTATTATAACGACTTTGCCCGACTAAGTGGTAGCAGTATTCATAATGACCGGTCAATTTGATAAATTATTGAAATTTATTACAATGCCCGATTTTATTGGTCATTATTCATAATGCCCGTATTAATCACTTTGTCCATAACATATCAATTCCTTCAAGTTGCTTTTACGTAAATTGTATACATGTCCTTCTTACAAAGCAAATGGAATATCTTTTCGCTGTCTAAAATGAATCTAAATGTACTATACAGTACATGAAAATGTTAACATGATAGTAAAGAACTCAGGTCTGTTGCAAAAGAGAAACAAGTTCGTAGCTTTCACATAAATCACAAAACAAGATAAATTTCGTGAACATATTACCCCCGTTATTTCAGCACTTATTCGTGTCATTCTACTGCCCATCTTATCTTGGATATCTGAAATCAAAATAAAATTTATTATTTTTTATTATGGTATTTAAACAAATAAAATTTTTTCATGACAGATTTTTTTTTTCTTTTTGTTATAGCGCATAGAAACAAGAGCTAGTATGTGTAGTATTTTTCTTACATAAAAACCTTTTTTTTTTTATTTGAGCTCTTCTGTTTCTGCTATTTTTGATGTAATTTCAACTTAGCACAAGATTTTTCTGTTTTCTAACTTGTCAAGTTCTGTCACTTCTGTAAGTATAATGCTTATTGTCTTTAGTCCCGTACAGTACATTTACATCTATTCTATTTGTTGTCTGGGTTAATATGGAGGCTTTTAGTGTTAAGAGCTGTTCCCTCTGATGCTGCGACCGTACGATCCGTTTTTGCCAGTCGAAGCTGACTACTTGGTCATACGCGGGGAGCGGAGAATAATGCCTTCCGGGAGGTCTTTTTAAAGGTAAATGGCCCCTATTACAGACGTGGAGAAAACCTGGAAAACTCCACGTGGCCAGCCCGTCCTGAAGAGGCGAAAACCCACGACCGAACTCCCAGTATTCAGGAAACGGAACCGCTTGGTTATTGGTGGGCCTATATTTACATCTGATTAATAATTCAGTTTAAATTTTCTTTCAATTCGGAATCACTTCTTCCATGTCTTGCCTAATTTGCTCCAATTGTCTTTCGGTAAATTCTATCTGTCCAAAAATATATTTTCTGACTTTTCCCATTGCACTTTGCAGGTGACACTTATTTGTTTAAATTGTATCATTTAAATTACGATAAATCAGGACCGATTCAAGGGGACTACAGAAGCACGAGCCTTTCCCATTGACATACAAAACAAAATCTAGCGACGAGTTGCTTAACTTTTCCGGCAGATCGGTCTCTCAGCTCCCAATAGCCGTAATGCTACGAAGTGGAATTGGCAAGCGCCAAATCCGACAGAGGGCGCAGTTTTTGAGCCAAGATGGCTGCCGAAACAGGTAAGGAACCGACCACGTGTTTGTTCAGTGCCTGAGCCGATTCAGTTTCTATCGGTGATGACTACTGCCTGGTTCCTTACCTGTTTCGGCAGCCATCTTGGCTCAAAAACAGCGCCATCTGTCGGATTTGGCGCTTGACAATAATAAATATTTCTGCCACATCGAGCGTTGTAATCGTTTTGCGGCGTAAGTTCGTCTCGAGCAGCATCGACATAATTGGTTGTAAACATTCGAAATTCTTTTTAATTAAAGATGAAATTATGCCGTTTTTAACTCAGATATTATTTTTGTGCTTTTAAAATACCATTTGTAAATACTGTTTTAATTAGGTTTTGAACATTATTCATTTACAAATACCACTAATATTTATAATTATATTAACTGTCACTTTCATGATTTTAGACTTTAAATTGATTCGACAGGTTTGTTTTTGCTCACAATTTGGATTCGTTTTTAAATATTTTTGGGAGTTTTCATTATGAATAAGAGAATATAGGGCTAATTATAATTTTTTCTATCTATACATTATTAATACGGGATGCCCTCAGTGAATTCTTTCCGAGTCAGGAATAAAAGAGATTTATGAGAGTTAAATAAATTTAATTATAGATATGTATAGAAATGTTAAGACAAGCGTTGGGATAGGTTGAAGTATTACTAAAAGAGGATTTGGAGTGGATTTTGGAATGCAACAAGGTTTAACTTTAAGCCCATATTTTTTTTTTTTTTTATATTAATATTAGATGAATTATTTTAGGATACAGTGACAAAGAAGCTACGGCAAATGCTATTTACAATTGATATTATGTTTATTAATGAAACAAAGAGTAATTAAAGTTGAGCCAAAAAAGATTAGAAACAAATTAGAGAGGAGAATTAAGTCAATTTTTATATTTACAAGCATATAATGAGTTAAAGATTGACAAATAGAATAAATGTAAGATGGCAAGAACTCAAACAGTACTATTAGGTATTGATAGTGATAGCAACGTACAGAATCTAAAACACACGTTACTTGATATTTTAATCATATATGTTTATATAGACATACTACATATAAACAAGGAAAGATGTCAGAGTAGGCTATCAATAATTCTGCATTCATTTTAATGATGCAGAATATCTAGTTCTTGCTGAAATTATTATGAGTTGTTTATTTTAATCATTAGTAAAATTTATTACTAAAATACAATTCTAGTTCTGGTAACTGAATTAAATTAATCAACCTATTCTATGAATAAATGAAAATAAATTAACATAATTTATTCTTAAATAAACAAATGTATAATATACAGTATAAAATACATTTGTTTTGCATTGATAACAGTACTGTATACAATTTGATGCCATTCTTACAATTTTTATTTTCCCAGCTGTTATATATAACAGAGGGAAAGTATGACTATCGGTCAAAAAATGATCCCGCACCAAGATTTTTACATTTTTGGACTCAGGAGCCTTGAAACGTCGAGAAATGTAAAAACTTTAGGGTTATTTCTGTATGTATGGTTGTTAGTGTGTGCGCATGTAGGTGTGTGGGTAGCACGGTTTTGTTTACCCTCTTTGAAGCTTAATAACTCCTATGCTTTTTTGTCGAAAATTTCTGAAATTTTGTAGGGAGGTTTGTGTATTAGAATGGTTGATGCTATTAAATTTTAGTGGTTAAAGGTCGAGAGGTTAGGAAATAGAGGGAGTCATATATTATATCCCCAATAGGGTTGGATCTAATGAAGATTTTGCTCATTATTACAATTGCAATTTTTTTTTTTTTATGAAACTCATATCCACCCTCAAAATTAAGCTTTTTGCCATTTTATAATAATTAATTATATGAAAAAGATTTTAATAAAATATTATAACAGATGATGCAGTTTTAAACGTCGTTGCCAGAAAAGTTAAACAACTCATTGCTGGATTTTTTTGTTTATGACTTTAACCATTTATTTGTGTTTAATGATTGCTTTGAGGTCACTAATTCTTAGAAATTTTATCTTGAATTTTCTCTATGTTAAGATCCAAACAATATGATGAAACAAAGATTAGAAAATTTTATACAATTATTGTAGAACAACAAATTCTTATTGTTTAATAAGAAAAAAAAAATTAACATTTTGTCAATAATAGTCTATCACTAATATTTCTATCGGTTGATCAATAATAAATACGACGAAATATTATTTAAAAGTATTTTTTGTTTTAATAAATTTAAGCAAAAAGCTTTTTACTCTTGAAAAATAGAGAATGAAATGGATTTTTGGCCACAACACTTCTGATAAGATTTTGCCTAGCAATATTAAAGCCTTTTAATTCTGTACATAATAGGAATTACTGTAGAAATTTTTTGCGAGATTAAATATAAAATATTTCAAAACTTTGGAGAAGTTACACATTTAAATATTTTCAACTTTCAATTCAATAACAACGTAAGTTGCACTTCAAAAATACGCTCAAAACAGATTGAATAAAAAATAATAAATAGAACACTTTATCTTGAAAAGGTATAAAACAATTTATTGTTGGTGTTTTTTTTAAATAACATATTTGCAATAATTTCACTTACAAAAGGAACTGTGGAAAGGTGAGTGATCGCAAAACCATACTAGGATAATTCAATAGAATATGTGTCAATACTGATAAATGTCTATTTTTAGATTCCTTAACCTTAAGAAAGAGCGAATCAATAGGTCAATGTTTAACTTGACTAAAATAGTTTAATGTTTGGCTTGTGAATTTGGAAACTTTATGATAACTTTATGTAATATCCTAATCTAAAACTGTTTACCTTACTAGAACAATAAATCTAAAAACTACACAATTTTCAGATGCAATGTTCTAATGTAGTAGTACATAAACTACAGTCTGTGTCAAATCCAGTCCACAAATATATTTCACGTCACTTATAAATGATAGAATGGTAGAATCTATATTCCATATATATTTAGTATATATGGAATATAGAAAACATTTGTGGTCCGCTTACCTACGACTAATGAGTAATTTGAGGACTCGTCAATCGAAAGGTTTTGGCACTATTGTTCTAATGGTTAATAGAAAAATTATTAGGCCTAATAGTTAACGTACAGTAACCAGATTAAATACATATATTTATTTCTTGATCCACGAGGATTTGACCCATCTACTCGAAGACTAAAACTTAACTGAAAATAAAAGAGGGCAGCCGTAGAAACTCTATTTACAGAAAACAAGCTCGATCTATGGTCCTTTATTTCTCCTTTCCTTATGAAGTTCCGTATCCAAAAATATATATTTATCAGTATTGACCCATACTTTATTGTATTATTCTAGTTTTGTTACGTGACCACACAGAATGCTTCCTTTATTAGAGTTATTAATATACAGGGTGAGGCATTTAACCTAAAAAAGTGAAATATCTCCAAATGTTTAAAAACCTAACAAGTGTTCAAAATAATGACCTTCATCCCCGATACATTTTTTCGATATGCTGAAGGAAAGATTGATGACAAACTAAAAGCGTTTCATCAGAAATGATTGCAAAATCGTGCTCAAAAAATAAACAAACTTGTTACTTTTCCGTCTTCAAAACAAACTTTATTTTAAACTTTTCCCTCTGCAACGCTTCGTTTTGGAGATATTTCATTTTTTAGGTTAAATGCCTCACTCTGTATATATTAAATGTATGGCTATTGACAAATAGACAGCATCTATAAAATCTTAAAGTATGCTTTAAAATAACTGAAAGACCATTCGTGTTCTTCGATATTATCAATAGAATCGAAATACAACCCCGATGACTTTCAAATTAACAAAAAAAAAATGGTCTTCATAGTAAGATGTTTTACGTCTTCCTTTGCTAGTTTCGGCAAATTCTTTGGTATTTTTCTCATATTTTTCTGTTTATAAGTATATTAACCAGCAAACCGAAAGAATTTAATGCCGATATTTCTCGCATCGTAGAAAGAAAATAATAATTAAAATTCTATTATCCTGTTTTTCAAAAGGAGTCAGGGAAAAAAATTTTAGAATTCTGACTACGTAAAGCTAATTGCTTCTTGGCTAATTTAAAATAATTTATCTAAATTTTAATGTGGAAATTCAGAAGAGTACACTAAATCTTCAATTAAACTGATATTGACATTTCTGCTTATGCTAGTTATTGTTTATCCAGAATATTTCTAGCAACTTTAATTTTCAGTCGTTTTGTTAACATTATAAATCGTGTTGATATTGTATAAATTGCGCTTCCCTGTACTGTACGTAAATAGGCTATCTAAATGTTATTTCTGGAAATTATTTTGCATATCATCTTCATGAATCACGGTACAAACGCGCTTTGTTAAGGAACATGAAATGAATAATCATCTCTAATTTATAAGCGCAATAAACTCCACGATCAAATTAATGACGTGTAGACCTAAAAAATATTTTTACAAAATATTACTCGTTACGTGTTATGTTGTAATATTGTATAGGCCTACACGCAATAAAATGCATGTTATAGACCTATTTTCAAGTTTAATATATTGAGTTAAAAAGACATATCTAGGACAGCTTTTATTATTTCATTCACGTATTCCGAAACGATTTCATATAAGATTGATCGAAATGATTTTACTTGCTCTAATTACCATAACATTTCTACGATTTATACTTGGACAATGACAATTTAAATCCTTATTACAAGTGAAAACAACGTACTCCTTTTTTTATGAAGCAATTTATGCATGTACTCTTGAAGATTTCATGGCTAATTATTTGTATAATTTAAAAATTATAATTAAACCACCGAAACATCATTTAAATTTCATCAATAAATTTATTTCAAATCATGACAAAAATAGTTTTTCTGTTACATTTTAATTTTGACAATTAACAATTCTCTAAACGTAAGTAATGTAGTACGAAATATATTAAACATTTAAAAATGTATGTGATAAACTACGACAGAAAACAATTTCAAATAATAATTTTCATTGTCAAATTTGAACAGTTTTCAAAGGTCTTTCACTTCAACATCAGCAGTACAGTCTTTTGTCACCAACTTCAGCATAATAAGAGACTTCTCGATCATTATGGAATCCTGTAACCATTTATAAGCAATTTCTAGTGGAATGACAGAATCGGATTTTTTTCCTTTTACTTGAAATGAAAAAAAACACTTTTTTCTCGTATTAAAATCAATTTGCATCTTCTGCTTTTTACACTCCATCTTGCAAGTTTATCGCTCGAAACACTGCGTAATTAACGCTTTCTGATAACTAATCACTGCACATTCAATCACTTAAAATGTCAATAAATTTAACGAATACGAAACTGTAACTAGAGTATTAACGTTGCAACAGCATAATATATATTTATATTATTATTATTATTATTATAACAATGCATAATTTTTAAAAATCTATTTGCAATATTTTAAACAATTTTTTTTGTGATAATGAGTAGTAACTGTGTATAAGAATCTATTGCATACTTATTTAATAGAACATAAATATGCAAATGACATTTTCTCTAGCTGTAAATAATTAACATAATTTTTTACAAATGTGCAGAAACTAAATTATTGCATTTTATAAATTTTCAATACTTCCATAATTATTCATTCTGTTTCTGAGTCATCGTTTTTCTGTCAATTGCATTCTGAAGATATACAATCATGTACTTGTTTTGAGATCTCTTAGCCAACTGAAGACACGTATAACCTGCCTAATATAATTAAATGAAGAGTTAAATAAGATTAAATAATAATAAATTATTAATGCTTAAAAAGAGTAAATTTACATTAGTACGAGAAAACCAGAGGTGGAAAAATTAATACAAGATTGCTGCCAATCCATCCTCGGAAAAATCTGATAGACGAGTAGGCTATGGCCATTGAAGACTTTGGCAAGAACATATTTCTCTGTTTCTTTGTTGATTATTAAATTTCTACAAACATAGGGAAAATACAATTTCCAGACTCGTGATCCATAGCTTCTCGTAGACTGGCCTATCAACCTCTATCTGCCCTAAAATACAGAGCAAATTCGAAATTTTAGGATGCTTTTTCCAGAAACTTGAAAACAAAAGGATTAACATGTTCTCGCCCCAAGGTCTTTCTTCAATCGTTATAAATAAAGATGGGAAATTGAGGTGCTCTCTTCTCGTTATTTTCACAGGGGGCTATTTTAAAGTATCAAGTTATTTCTTTGTAATTTTACGAGCCTACCTGTGACTGAATGGAATAAGCACAATTACCACTGATTGTGGGATGACGTTTTTGAAGGAACTCTACACTGTTCATTCACACAAATTCCCGTGCAATTTAGTTTTTAAGCTTGAGGAAAGCGGTCTGCCTAGCAGTGGGATTTTTTAAACACACCAAAAACCCGTTGGATGGATTTGTTTAAAGAAAAATCTGGAATACTCTGAAAAAACTCAGGATTTCGAAATATAATTCATGAATCTCTTCAGTCACAAAACAGAGATTTTAGTGAAAACCAAATATGCTCGTCTCACGTCCGTATATGTTTTAGCAATTCAAAGATTCAATTTCCTCGCGTCGTCTGCGGCTGACTACGGAGAATGTAGAAGAATTGTGTACAGTCGACCATCCCCTATAACACTGTTGATTATTCCGTTTTATATGAATTCCATGTTGTACGAGTCACTTAGATTTTCCAAATACGTGTACCGGGCTGTGAACGGCTCACGTATTTGTAAAATCTAAGTGACTCATACAACATGGAATTCATATAAAACGGAATAATCAACAGTGTTATAGGGGGGTCGACTGTATTTAAAAGTACCGTACAATGCTTTTATGTTTGTATTTTATAAAACTGATGGATTTGATTTTGAAAGTGATTAACTGATTTTCTATGATTTTCTCGAGTTTTGCTTGTCCATGTATACTTTTATATGCAATAAACCGATGCTCTTCCTTTACGTTTTAGGAGCAAATTTTAACACTTTTTTAAAGAAAATTTGCACCGCAACTTTCCAAGTTTAGTTATAAATAAGAATATAACTTGAACATATATTTTTAAAAGTTATTAACGGAGTTATTTATCAATATTGTCATTTTAAAACGGAGAAAACTCAGAAATTCTTCGAAAGAACATGAAGGAATTATTTAAAGAAACAGAATTTATTTATTTATTTATTTATTGATGAATTAAAATCTAGTTTTCTTCGGATTTATGTTTTAAAATTACATTTTCATCGTAAATATAATTAATATTTAATTTACACTGTATTTTTAACAATATACCTCATTAGAGTATAACATTAAAAATTATTAAATTAAATTAAAATTTCTCAAAAATCAGTTTTTGAATATTTTTTGTTATTTTCAACAAAATTTGTTGTATATTAAATTGTTCCGTATTCACTATATTATAGAAAGTCAATTTCGATACAGCGCTAATCAATGTTCGTTAACGAAACTTTCTCATAACTATTAATTAAATAGTAGTATCCTTCATTATCACTAAATTACCAAATGTAAGATTTTGCGTTGCAAAGGGCATTGTTATCACAAAATCATGTGACTCAAACTCAAATCTCAACTTATTTTGCGTATATCTCAAAATATACGCAAAATAATGCTTATATCTCATTATTTTGAATAATTTTTATTGTTTAAGATTTTTTCGATTTAGCACCATACTCGATTTAGTGTCAATTTCAAAAGTAAACAAACAATAATGCTATATCGAGGTTTGTCTGTATTTTGAATTTGATAAATTTGAGATATTTTATATGATTTTTTAGTGATTTGATTTTCTAAGCATATTAATCTTGTATTTTCGAACAAATAATTTGGATTAATCTTGTCACTTATTCAAATATGATGTGATGATTATTTTTAGAGGACAGATCCTGTCCTTTATAAATGGCAGCCTACCGCTCTGGGAAACTTGGGATCGGATCCAACGGGTCAAAACACCCTAATAATTTTTTTTGAAGAATTGTCGTCCGGATACCGGATATGTCGGGCCCTGTCCCTCACTACCCATGATGGGTTTACTAAAAAGGCGCTCTTAGTGCCCACAGGATGGAAAGAGTTTAAAATTAAAGACTATTTGCATAGTAATAAGTATTAAATTAATTAAAATAGTTGCTTACTTTATTTTTTAATTCAGGATCTGCACCAGCAAGGATTAATACTTTCACAACTAACAATTGATTTAAAAGAGTTGCCGCGTGCAATGCACTTTCACCATTCTAAATAAAAACAATAAATTGATTTTTAATTAATATTTAAACATTTTAATATTAAAATTTTTTAAAAAAACAAAACCTACATATATATAGCCTATTCAAATTTAGATAAATAGAAAAATAAAGGCAATTGGTGTATAAAAAAACCTAACACCTTAGATAACAATTCAAAAGCAATTATGTTAGACTCGACTAAAGTAATTACACCTTTGGCCATATCTAACAGGTAAGTTTACTTTTTCACTATACTTACTTGTTGGCCTGATCAGGATAATTGATATATCAGCTATTAAACACGTACTACAAAAGACAGTTTTTCTTCCTGGTCAGATGTTATTAAGAATTTTTAAAATTTTAAAATGATAATTTTCACACAGAGAAACGCATATCAGTCAATGAGAAATGTACAAATAAATATAAAAGTTTATAAATAGCAAAATAGGGCAAAAAACAGTATTGATGAGCCATTGATGCAAGTATATTGGTGTCCAGGTCCTTATGCCTCGATTGGTTAATAAAATCTTGCCAACGAAAATATTAATTTTCAAATATTCCATCCATACAAAAGTATAAATTTGAATGTGTATATTCAGCACCGGTTTCAGACATAGCGTAGTAGGCAATCACCAGCGTCTAGACTATAGAGAATTAGAAGGGAGCAAAAATTGGTTTTCATTAATTAGTGCTTTTATTTTGGATTATGATAGAGATAATGTGCTATTTTTAGATTTATTTTTAGTGGATTTTAGTAACTACTAATTACATAAAATACTTTGTAATTTAGATAGTATCGTTTAATAGTATATTATCCAATTAGTTTATAATGTAGGCGATTATGGCATTCATGGAAATTGACCCATTCGCTCCGCTCGTGTGCCAATTTCCATTAATGCCACAATCGCTAATTATAAACGAATCGTCATACGGTATTTTGTGGTTAGACTACACCTATAACACATATGGAACATACTTATGGAACTCAAAATCATGTATAAACACAGTGTTTGTGGCATCCGTGCCATAAAATTTTTATAGCACGGTTGACATAAACACTGTGTTTATACATAATTTTTATTTCCATAAGTATAGTATTATAGGTGTAGCCAACCACAAACATATTTTATTAAACTTTTACTCGTATTTTGCGGCATACGTTTAGCGTTTATTTTTGCACAGTAAAAATCCAATTTTATTTTATTTAATCATTTGTCTCTTCCATGCTTTCGTATGCTGGTTATCCTCCCGTAATTTAGATTTGATTATATCTCTCGGTCGGTCTCTGGTAGCCTCCATCTTGCTGAGAGTGGCACCTGCGTCCCATCCAGGGAAGCCTAAATACGGTCTACATACACCCAAAAATGGGTATAACGGTTGCTGTGTCGGTTATATAAGCTATTTATATACTGGAGGTATTCGGAAAATAAATTCTGATTTACCACAAAAGATAACGAGAAGATGTTTTGGACGTTCCTTAATTGCAAAAAGTTTAAAGTTTAAACAGTACATGTAGCCTATAATATTTATATCTACTTCTCAATATAATAATCTCTAAGATCTGGTGTAAAAGTTAATATAAGATTGCCGCTGAACAACCAATCCAACCTCGGAAAAATCTGATAGACGAGTAGGCTATGGCCATTGAAGACCTTGGCAAGACCTTGAAAAACTTTTCGCATCATTGCACAAGCTTTTTTAATCTCCCTTTTGCAGAAGTCTGCCACTAAATTCAGAACTAATCTTGCACGATTAATCTACCTTCATCGCTATCGAATCATTGTCCCATAAACTTGCCTTCAAGTGCAGAAACGGATGTCAGATTCAGAGGATATAGTGCATAAGATGGGTGGAAGAATATTTCCCATCTGAATTGTTCAACGTTCGAGGTGGGAGTGTGTGTCATCGTGCATTGTCGTGAAACAATACAATGTCGGAGCTTTGTAAACCTCGTTGTTTACTTTGGATATCCTGAATATCCATTTGAATGCCTGTCGTAATTCTTTCAAGGTCTCACAATTCCTATTAGCTTTATGTTGCTCTATGATCCTGGAATTCAATCAGCAAAAACACTACGACCTTATCTCTCAGCGTGTGGAATTTTCGATATTTTTTTTCATTTTTTGGATTTATGATAAGTTTCGGAAAACTGCTAAAAATTTCTGGCATTTCTTATCTTCTGGAACAACAATAAGCCGACAAAGCTTTATTCATTTTACTCTAACAGCACCATGCACCATCGAAACTTACTTCTGAATGCTCTCATACATACACAATGCACCCTCGCTAATCCGAAACTGAGTTAATTCGAACCAGTTTTGTCTGTTTATTTTGATTTTTAAAATTTTTTAATTAATTATATACGATTTTGAATTGTATTTAATTATAAAAAAAATAATACGAGAAAAGTATACAGTATCATTAAACAGAATAGTGAAAATTTCTTGAAGAAAGTCATATTAAATTTGTTCTTTTTTTTATAAGGTTTCCTGTTTTTAATGAAACAACAGATAAAAACAATGAAAATAATTCCTAAGAGTTGCAACAAGGTATGTACTGTACAGTACAAGCAAAACGAAAATATTGATAAATTTCGAACTTGAAACCAGTGCCGTAACTAGACGATGCAACAGTGTACACAAGCACAGGGCGACCCTAAAATGAGGTATCAAAAATGCTCGGTATTATATTTTAATTTTAAAATTTTTCTGCCCCGGAGGCAGATTTCATAATATTTTTGATTAAAGTTTAAAATTAACCGACCATTTCTATCACGAAAAGGAGAATCAAAACTAAAATCTTGCTCAGGGCACATGAAAAGCCAGTTAAAGCACTGCTTGAAACACTGTACTAATCGGAGGAAAATTTTCTGATACAGACTTGTTAGTTTTAGTGAGAAGGGTTATGTCAGACGACCGTGGAGGCCAGTGAGTGGGACTGTCCCAACCTATCCAGCGGTCGGGAAATGTAATGTTCAGGAAAGTGCGTACGATTACTCCATAATGTGGTGGTGCACCGTCCTACTGAAAAATGCCATCAAGTTGCAGGTCTTGAAACTGCGGTGCAGAAAACCCTCCACCATATCCAGATGAATTCTGTCACTGTCGATTCAATGAAAAAGGACGGACAAGTGATGCAAGTAATGAATGGGAGAGATTTACGAGTCTACCTACGCTGTGGTACAGTACATGCTTTTTATCAGTAGTTCTCACTGTATTCACTCAAAAAATTTCTAAAACTCGACATATACTTTATGGACAGTCAGAAATGTATTTGGTGCATTAAAATATATATTTTTAATATGTATATTTATCTTTATTTTAGTCCTTTTTGTTTCTTTTTCTTCATTAGTCTATTATCAGGCTTTTTAAAATTTACCTTTCTTCTAATATACAGTAATCTGTTTAATTCGAACAATCCCACACAAAACAACATATAAGTTTGTATATATGTATTTATTTATTTATATTGTTAATATCATTCCGGTACAAAAATGGTTTGTTAACCCCTTATAGTTTATATTCTTGTTAAGTTATAAACTATTAAAAGTTTAATAAATAATTTTCGCACCGGCGCGGCGGCTTGTGATATTCTTATTCTCTCAATGGAGAAAGATCATTTAGACCTTCTATCAATTTCAACTGGCTGAAAACATATACCGTTTACCAGTATGCCATTTCTGTTACTGTTAGCAACTTATAAATCTGCACCAAAACCTTAAATATAGAAAAAGAAACAGTGCATAAGTTCTTATCAAAGAACTGAAAACTTTTTATACTGCATTAAGAAATTTTTATATTGGAATAAATATTTCGAGAAGGAAAAACAGGCTCACAAAAATGTGCAAAAAAATTGTAAAGTAAATCGCCTTTAGTTTTTGATTGATCCTCGTATATGAAAATTGTTATCAATATTAATACGGTCGTTAAAATATACCTTTAAAATATCTATAGAAGCTCCATGCTTTATCAAAATTGCAACAATATCCGCATAGCCTTTGTGGGCAGCTTTAAAAAGTGGTGTAGCTCCATCCTATATACGAAAATATGATCAATCATATGTAATTATGAAATTATAATTTTAAAGAAAATAATAGCATACTTCTCTAGCCGCATCTACAATTGCACCTTCAGCGAGGAGTTTCTTAACTACTTCAGTATGACCCATTTGGCATGCTATCCAGAGTGGCGTGGCCATGTCCTTACAAATTAAATAAGATTTGAAACTATATTTTTAGATTATATGAGCTATTTGCTTAAATATTAATTAATAAAATTGACTAAAAGTTATTTTTCTTAATATCTATAAAGAATTTGGTGATAGCAACGTAGAATATGAGATGGTTTTGGATTCTTGATTTAGGAAATACACTCCTAAATAAAGTATATAGTTTCTGTATATTTGGATTTGGATTATTTCTCGAAACATTCTTAAGTCAAATAATAACCTGAGTTTTTATTGTTAGAAGAAGATCTGATCCTTAATAGATGCAACCAATATTAAAAAAGGATGAAGTAAGATGTTTGCATTCGAACGATACATGAAAGCTGAAAAATCCAAAATGGATTTAATCCCGAACTTTTCTAGTACTACAATACTATTTTATACATGACAATTAGTTTCAAATATATAATATTAATACAAAAATTATTTCTTGAATGATCATATTCATTTAAATTCTTATAACTTAAATTATTTGACAATGATAGAGGTCAGAAGGCAATTTTAATTATTGTCCATTTAAGCAAATAGAATAAATATGTACATTTATAGTTATAAGTCTATTATTAAACGGATAAATGTTATGTAATTTTTAAAATTTATTAAAGCACATACCTTTCTTCTGACATTGACATGTGCTCCCAAAGAGAGAAGATAAGTGACAAGTTCTACATGACCGTTTTGTGCGGCGATAAAAAGTGGTGTGGCTTTATCCTAGAAAACATTTATTATAATTTTTTATTTTAATTCATAATTGCTTTATTTATAAAGTATAGATTCTACGATATAATAATATTTCAGTCAATAATATTTTTTGTATAAAATACAAATATTTTTATTGTGTTAGGGTTACATTATTCTTAATTTGATTGGATTGTAAGAAGAAATAATTCGAATTATCAATAGTGTTTATATTTTATATAATAATTAAGCACTTTTTTAATTTATATAAAATAATCAGCTATTAACTATTTGTAGAATACTTACGATCATTTGAATATGAATGTTTGCACCATGTTTAACTAACTTCTGTACAACGTCAAATTGATTGTACTGACATGCAACAGCTAGAGGCGTTCCTCCATCCTGGAAAATAAATTATTCATTTACATTTTAATAGAATTTTAAAAATATATAATAATAAAGATTCTAATTAAAATTTTTGTCGAAGATTAAATGGCAGTTATAACATCTGGAAGTACAACAATGCTCAAAGTATATTCAATCTTAATTAAACAATTTTATTTTATTATTAACCTTAGGTCAATCCATTTTTATTAATTTTAAATCTATTATAAGAATTATAAGAATTTTAAAGAGCCTCCCCATTCGTTTCAGTTATATACTGTACTTGTACAATTGTTTTGTTGTTGACGCAATGTATTGTCTTGCATTTAGTGTAAAAATTTCAGAACAATGCCTATTGTTTATATTTATATTTAATCATGTACCCGGCCTTCAGTGGATAATAAAGTTTCAACATATCGAATTCATTTTAATCAACTGTTAATATTGTAACGTTGGATTTACAATAAATTTTGTTTGGCTTAAGGGCTTTAGACTGAAGCCCTTATGCCAGGCAAATGAAGCAATTTACAACATATGCAAGACACGCAGCGCTTTTCATATCTTGTAAATTGCTTGATTCTTTTTTGAAATAATAAACAAATAAAAAATAATTTGATTTATTTATATATTGAAATAATTATCGCGAATACCTGTTCTAAGACGAATTAAACGCACTAAAAGAATTATTCATTCATGATGAGCCATTCTTCTAATACAGTAGGCTATATCTCTCTAGTTATGGATCGGATTGATAAGGCAACACAAAATATGGAAGGTGTCTTCCAGGAGCACTTCCTATGAAAAACTGACCCCTATTTAGTTGTTAGTTATGCAATTAAAAAAAAATCAGAAAACTCCACACGGTCAGCCCTTTGGTGAGGCGCAAACCCGCGACCGACTGTCAGCAATCAGTACTTTTATTTATTCCATCATTGATAAACATTTCCGGAAATGGCGTCAGCGATATGTTGTTAATACTTAAAAATATGAAAAATATTTCGGTTTTCTTTAATAATAACGCATTTTTTAAAATGAATTATAAGTTTATTCCACAATTTTTAATTAAAACATTAAAAATTGTGGAATAAACTTATAATTCATTTTAATTAAATTAATCTAAATTAATTTAAAACAATTAATTTAGTAAAAGTTTTAAATGAAACCAAATTGCTGCGAATAAAGCACATTTTTTACATAAATGATGCTATTTTGTTTCAACATAGTTTAGTGATACGGAAACAAATTTCTGAATATATTTATTTATTAAAATAAAATATATAAATCATTTTTTTTTGTGTGTGTGTGATGAATAATTCATAAGATGTAAAATGTGTCAGGAAGATAATTTAAAATTCTAATATATTACGGAAATAAATTTAGAAATTCTTTTATAAACAGTAATTAATAGATATGAGTATAATAAATTTTAAAAATATATATTATATAAATTTATATGAACGATATTGATGAGATAGACGAGCATAAAATTGAGCATAAAGCATGTTTTTAATTTTCAGTGTTATGAAATAAAGTATAAATATTTATATTTTCCAATTTTTGTATGTCTATCATCGTTATTTCTCAAAAATATTTATCAGGGTAATGTGTAGATGATGATTTTTCTATAAAAAAGAATATTGGTAAATTATGTTGGTTGAATTTAGCAATTTTAGAAAAATGATTATTGAATAGACGAAACGTTGTATCGTGAATCAGAATAGCGCAAACAAATGAAAATGTTAGAAATTACGATTATATAAATTATAAATTTTAAAATTTATGTATGTCAGAATGAATAAAACAATTGAACACTGGTAGTAGTTAGTCGTGGGTGCCACAGCAACCTGCTGGCCACGTGGAATTTTCCGGGTCTAACACCTAAATAGAGGCCAATTTTCCATAAAAGTCCTCTCTGAAGGCACCGCCCCTTTGGCAGATCGTCCATGAATAATATTGCGTTGCCTTACCCTATCAATAACAGTGTAAGCGAAAAAGTCAAAATAAAATATCAAGCATTGTTGAATATATTAAAAAAAAATTATTTAAAAAGAATTGCATTTTTATATTTGCTGTCCGAGAGATTTTGAATTGTTATCTATTTTCAAAGAAAATAATTATTTATAGATTTGCCGATTTGATGCGACGTCGCATCATAGCATTAATACAGATCGCGCGGCGATATGACGCAACGTTATGGCATTATTATAATTAAAGTACTGTATATATTGGAAATAAATATGAATTCCAATTTTTCTATTTAAATCTTAGTTTGTTTTGATTTATATTCTTTATAAATTGTGTAATTCAAAATGAAATTTTACATACTATACTTGATACATTTACAGATGCTCCGTGTTTTAACAGTAATTCCACAATTTCCAGATATCCAGCTTGAGCAGCAAAAAATAAAGCAGTCGTTCCAGTCTACAAAAATTAATTGATTTTTAATGACATAAATTACAATTTGAATAAATATTTATGTCGTGTGATTATTGATATGAAAGTTTGTTTAACAACTATTTTGAAAATGTAAAAGATTGAATTTTCAAATAAAAATTTTCTGAAAATGTTAATAATAATTTAATAATTATAAGGTAAGATTAAGATTGTAATCTAGAGACGTTTCTGCAAGTGGTGATAACGAGAATTTAAAATGCTTCCTATTTATTTATTTATAAATTTTTTATCAAATAAAGTAACTGGCAGTAAATTTTCAACCTTCACTTATCAAAAACAATTTTTTTTTACCTTTAACAAGTATTTCTGCTTTTCAAATGGACAATTAATTAAAAGAAATTACAATAAAACATTAAAAACTGGAATTTTCTGTATTTATTTTAAGGAAAATTTAACAAAACCATTATTCGAATTCTTTATCGTTCTACTTTAATTAAAATAATACTTTTATTTATATAATATTTTTTCGTTTTTAATTGTTAAAGAACTAAATATAAAGAATGAAATGCATTTAGTTCTTTAACAATATAATAATCTTGGGAAATAATAGGATAAATAACATTAGTAAAAAGTTTTTATGAATATAAACAGTCATGTGAAAAATTTAAAATACGTAAAATACAATAAAACTATAGGCCTATATATATATAACATAGAATCTGTTCACTATGCATTTCTAAATCCTGTGACTGATCTTCACCAAATTTTTCATAGTTACTCTCTAGGACCCTGCGGAAAATAGTCCCAGGCTATTATTAAACCGCTACATTTCGCTCTTCCTCTTAATTTCATCCCCCATTAACTCCTAAGCATTTTGACCGATCTTCAACAAATGTTTCATAATTAATCTCTAGGACCAGCGGGAAATATAGGCTATCATTAAACCTGAACATGAACATTCCATTTCCCCCTGATTTCATCCCCTTGAATACTGTATGATAAGCATAATAATTATAGACAAAATAATCAAGTTTTTGATATGATTTTTATTTTAATGTTTGTCATTACTTTTCGTCGGACATACCTGCTAATAAATATAATTTTAAAATAAAACTTTAAAAAATTTATTCGATGATTGCTAAAAGAATTAAAAATATATTCATTTAATTTTAAAATTATTGGAGAGTAATAGAAGGATAAAAATTATAGGATGGTAAAAGTATAATTTGCTTAACCAAGTATTTATTAAGGCAGCCCTCACTATCTGACTTTCTCCATTACGGGCCTGGTTGAGCTCACATGGGTATGATTTAAAAAAAGGTCCTCTTAGTATCCACAGAGTGAAAACAGATAAAAGTGAAAAAAAAATGTGACGCGCAATAAAGTAATAAATTGGCGTCATAAAATTGTATATAAAAAGAGATTCAACCTTATTTGTGACGATATTAAATGCAAAGTTTTGCGTTTGATAATGAATGTTAATTGAACTATTGAATCTGTTTTGTGTTCCATAAAATATCAACAAACATCGAAATTTGAATTGAGTTGCGTTACATTGCATTACATTTATACACGCCAAGGTCGCGAGATGCTTAATGCAGGAATTGTAAATCAAATTCTACGTTTTCATCTAATTATGTTACATAAATTTAAGCTATACTATACGGCATGCGATCTTTTAAAAATATTTTATACTAAAGAAAGTAAAATGTATGAGTTTGTGTTTCTATAAAATTACAAAAATTTAACTAAAGGGTTATTATTATTATTTTTATTGTATCTTTGAATTAAATTATATAGACATATATAGAAGGATAACATTATACCGTCACTATAGGATAAATGTGATATACTTTCTCACTATGGAAAAAATATTTACTGTGAAAGAGATGCTCTAGTAGGACCTATGTTAATTTAGTGATAAAATTAAGTGTTAACTGACACTTATTTTTATCACTAAAATAACAGTAACAGTAACAGTTTTGATTGCTCACAAGAGAATTTACAATTATGAAAATTTAAATTTCAGAATTTTATCTAAAAATTCACCAGTGAGATTAATTGGCGTATTTTTTTGTTTTATTTTTTTTATAAAGTACACTAGCAAATCCAAAAGCATCCAGAGGGAGGAGGCTAACTTAAAAATTAAAAATATCTGACTAATTAATAAGTACTTTTTGTTAACACGTGCTCGAGGATTGCAATGAGTATGGTCCAATAAATCATATTTGCATCATAAACGTTTTAAAAATAACGCTTTAAAGTTCGAACAAATAAATTTAATTTTTTTTTCCTGTATCAACGGGGAGGGCTTAAACTCCTGGAGTCTTCGTCTTGGATCTGCCACTGATTAAGTGTATCTTTTCTGAGAATATATTAATATGTATGTATATAAATTTATATACTTGATGAGAAAGAGGAAATAATCATTCTATTCTTTCTAACAAAACTATTAGAGCTAGAACAATGCGATTTATGGGCGATGTTCCATATTCATTGTTAAAAATTATATTAATTCCTCATCCTGCAGAGAACAAAGATGAGAAAGGGTGTAGTTATACAATTAGCTGAACAATTTACTTGTTTGTATCTCTAAATTTTAAAGACATATACTGGGTTAATTGCTTAAATTATGATTTACGATAGAGATTGAGATAGAAATGCATAGATTTATATCTCAATGTCACTATAACTGAGAAAAATAATTCATCATACTACACAGGAAGCTAAAACCTGTCCACGTGATACGTTTACTGATATATTATAATAATGTAAAAAAAAAAATTTTAAATAGACTTTACCAATCGTCTAGCGGATGGATCAGCTCCTTGACTCAATAACTCTTTAGCACACTCGTAATGGTTATTGGCACATGCCAAAATTAAGGCTGTAGTTCCGTCCTGAAAACAACTTTCGTAATAAACAACTTAACTCTAACAATGAATGACATGTTCTAAAAAGAATGTTTTTGACTTTCTTACCTCATCCTTACAATCTACATACACTTTTCCACTGTCCAAAACTTTATTAAGAAGATTGAGATTTCCCCTAATCGCAGCAACGTGAAGTTGCTGAGCGGAAAGAGTTTCCTTCTACGAGAAAAATATTTATAAAAATGAATTTTAAAATAAAAAAAAACAAGATATATTAATTTAAAAGAAAGTTAATCATACTAAATGCATAATTTATAAGTAATTTGTATTTATTTAACACAAAAGAAGGTAATGTAGTTGACTCTTCCTATATAGATGCTATCAGAATCATAATCAAAGAGCGAATAAATTTTGCACGCTACAGGTGTGGTCGACAGGTGGAACAAAGTTGCGTTATATAGTCTAAACAGGTGTTCTTAGAAACTGGAACTCTTCCTCGTGCGATCTATAACGTAGATAAAAGCAACTAATTGCATACAGTCGAGTTCTCTTCCTGAAGAATCAATCATTCAGTTTTACTAGTCATCAAAATAGATTGAAGTTTACAAAAGCGAATTAATGCGAAGAATGGAAACTTGATGTACTGTACATTTCTATCCATTGATTAACGATTAACGATTTAGTGATCAATGAATTATTTTTACAGACTTATTTAGCAAACCATCACTTAGGATTCAGGTTAAGAGTTTTAAGTATATGATGCGTTCAAAATAAAACTACTAAAGGTTTTCGTGTGAAGGAAAAACGATAGATAAAAACCCATTAACTGTATGTAATATCTTTTTGGCGCCAGATCAAGTACTGACGAAATGGTCTTGTTCATTCGACTGTAACCACGATAATCACGGAAGAAAACCCTGCTTCGTACAATACAGTACAACTATCTTCGTCTTTAGTGCGACAACGGAAACGTGAGAAACCTTTGTTTATATAAAATTTAACGGCAATAAAAATAAAATTTTAAATTTATTTTTAACGCCTAGGTCCAACTTACGACCATTATTTTTAGTGGTTTTTTTATTTTTTTATTTTTTACGACAAACACCTAGTTTGGTAGCAGCCCGTAAAATTAATTTTCTGGTTAAGTTATCCAACTGGTTCAAAAATAAAACTGAAATTTACAACCTTTAATTGAATCGTATAAAATAATAATATAGTTTTGAAAACTTGTATCGTTCCTAATATGCTCCTCCCATTTAATTATAAACTGTAAACTATTGTTTTGCTCTATAATAAACTTGTCTATTGTAAATGTAATGAACTATAAAAGTAATATCTTTTAAAATTAAAAAAGTTATTACTATTATTATTATTATGGATGAATAGAAAGTAATATTTACTGAATATCACGTGGAATTTTATTGGCTTAGCAATCAGAATTTAAATTTAAAATATTTAAAATAGATTATTAGATTATAGAATATAGTATATTACATTAATATATACTACGAATTATAACTAAAATAATAATATATCCGTGTAAGCTGTAAGGTAGAGTAAATTTTATTTTAACAGCATTCTGTTAATAATTGTTCTAATATTTGCATACATTTTATATACACATACAGTTAAACACTTGAATGTAATGACTTTTATGGGTGAAACGTAATTAATACATATATAATAATATTTCATTACAATGCTCTATATAATATGTAAAATATACTACCTTATAATAAATTTTTAACATACACTATTGTTTTCTAGCTGTAAACATAAGTAATAAATCCTACAACATGTGCTTCTCTGTAAGGTAATGATAAATTTTTTATCTGTTTCTATCCTATATATCGCTAATTATACAAATTTTATAACATACTTTTAAAAATTACTAATTTAAAAGTATATCGGTATTAAAATTTTAAAATAATATTAATTAATTTATACATTAGTAATCAGACATAATCACTTCTTTATAAAGCTTCAGTAAATGTTATAATATAGGAAACTATACATATATATGTTTCTACTTACTCTGAGAGACATGGAGAAGATATCAACACACACAAATATATTACAACACTATAAAACACTACAACTCTACAACTTCCGTTAAAACCTGGGTTGCAGATGACGTAACGTTATTCTCCTCCTACTCTCTTTCTATTGGTTAATATCAGATTTCGTTTGAAAATTCAAATGAAATTCGATATCAACCAATAGAACCAATTTATCTTTTTCTATCATTGATTTTTTTTTAAAAAAACACATTAGTTATTTTTAAATTTAAACAATATTACACAATTAAAATACTTATATAAACTATTTCTTATAGTTTTATTTTGATTTCTAGTATAAAGATGTACAGTACAGTATTCCCGTAGTGGATAACTATTAAAAATAGATGGAAGATTTTTTTAGAAAGGTATAACAAAGGCCTATTCGGGAATAGCGTTTCTTTAATAGATATATTAAAATACAATGGTAAAATATTTTAAAAATTCATTTTTATGAAATCGGAGAATGCTTCACACGAAACTTAATTGTAAATTTCGGAAGTTTGTCATTGATGTATGGCATCTAACGGTCATTTGGTATGTAAGCGTGCGGAACACAAAAGTCATTCTTTTCATGTGGGCAGTTACTTCCTCATTACATCTGATTATTAAAATTATAAATGTCTGTCATCCACGGTTTGTTTACTTATAAATATTTAACTTCGATCGACATTTCCTTTCTCTTTTGATAATCATCCCGATAAAAAAAAATTCCCAGCATATAATTAAACTAGTTCTTTTCTAGATTTTTTTTCAATTTTTAGATTAAATTTAGCTTTTTATGTCTTCGAATTAACTAATTATTTAAGAGAATCATTAATTTTCATACCATAATAGTCATTGTACCAATAACATCCCAGTTTTCAGGTGTAAAGGTTTGATGTTTTTAACACGTTTCGCTGATTACTGTGGACTGTTTCACCGTTTAATTTAGTTTATACATTACATATTTTCGTTGATAAAAAGTAGGACATAGATTCATAGAAATTTATAAGAGAAAATATCATTGAACCGAGATTAATCATGTAGATAAGAGCCTATTAGTAACCATGGTATTCGTCATCTCTTCTTATTTTTGTTATCTAAAAATATCTTTGATACAATTTTTTAGTTTTGAGTAAAATATACGATATTTTCCATTATATATAATAATTTAAACAACATTTATATGTAAAATATTTAATATTTGGAGGAGTTTAGAAAGTGTTTCCGTGATAACCGTGACATAAATCCATTGAACTTGAAAACGAACGAATCTGAGGACAATTTAACCTATTTCTATAAAAATTAGAACGGAAAATTATGGTTTAATATTTAGACTATTTTATTTTCAGATTTTGTTTATAGTTAAAATCGTTGATAACCGAACAAACGTTATGCCTCTTTGGAGATTTAGGATGTTCTTGAATTTCAAGTTTGATGCTTCTATCATTATCTCCATTCACTTGTTTCTCTCTCGATTTTTCCCATAAAAAATTGTTTTAAAATCCTTGAACTTTGTTTTTATTGTTAGAAAATCAACTAAAAAGTCTTTTAAATATAATTTATATTTTTCAAATCAGTTTGTAAGTTCTGATTTTGAATATTCTGTGAAGATTTTAAGCTGAAGAGTAGAAAATTAGATTTTTTTTAAATTAAAATATTGTTTTTTTTCTTTATTATCACACAGTATAAAGTTTGTTAATATATTCAAGAACTTAAAAAATAAAAATAAAAAATAAAACAAATGAACCATTGTTAAATAATCTTTATGAGATGCGTCGTAGCGAGACGTGTTTTGTACCATATAATTATCCAATTTTAATAATAAAATATTGAATATTTTGGAAAAAGTATAACTATATAAAGGATTCTTTATTTAAAAGACTTTTTAAAAATTTAATTTATTTTCTATTGGAAAAGAAAAGTGAAAACGCGATTTTTGTTTTGCTTCGAGAGATCTTCTACTCGTATTTTNATTATATAAATTTATATGAACGATATTGATGAGATAGACGAGCATAAAATTGAGCATAAAGCATGTTTTTAATTTTCAGTGTTATGAAATAAAGTATAAATATTTATATTTTCCAATTTTTGTATGTCTATCATCGTTATTTCTCAAAAATATTTATCAGGGTAATGTGTAGATGATGATTTTTCTATAAAAAAGAATATTGGTAAATTATGTTGGTTGAATTTAGCAATTTTAGAAAAATGATTATTGAATAGACGAAACGTTGTATCGTGAATCAGAATAGCGCAAACAAATGAAAATGTTAGAAATTACGATTATATAAATTATAAATTTTAAAATTTATGTATGTCAGAATGAATAAAACAATTGAACACTGGTAGTAGTTAGTCGTGGGTGCCACAGCAACCTGCTGGCCACGTGGAATTTTCCGGGTCTAACACCTAAATAGAGGCCAATTTTCCATAAAAGTCCTCTCTGAAGGCACCGCCCCTTTGGCAGATCGTCCATGAATAATATTGCGTTGCCTTACCCTATCAATAACAGTGTAAGCGAAAAAGTCAAAATAAAATATCAAGCATTGTTGAATATATTAAAAAAAAAATTATTTAAAAAGAATTGCATTTTTATATTTGCTGTCCGAGAGATTTTGAATTGTTATCTATTTTCAAAGAAAATAATTATTTATAGATTTGCCGATTTGATGCGACGTCGCATCATAGCATTAATACAGATCGCGCGGCGATATGACGCAACGTTATGGCATTATTATAATTAAAGTACTGTATATATTGGAAATAAATATGAATTCCAATTTTTCTATTTAAATCTTAGTTTGTTTTGATTTATATTCTTTATAAATTGTGTAATTCAAAATGAAATTTTACATACTATACTTGATACATTTACAGATGCTCCGTGTTTTAACAGTAATTCCACAATTTCCAGATATCCAGCTTGAGCAGCAAAAAATAAAGCAGTCGTTCCAGTCTACAAAAATTAATTGATTTTTAATGACATAAATTACAATTTGAATAAATATTTATGTCGTGTGATTATTGATATGAAAGTTTGTTTAACAACTATTTTGAAAATGTAAAAGATTGAATTTTCAAATAAAAATTTTCTGAAAATGTTAATAATAATTTAATAATTATAAGGTAAGATTAAGATTGTAATCTAGAGACGTTTCTGCAAGTGGTGATAACGAGAATTTAAAATGCTTCCTATTTATTTATTTATAAATTTTTTATCAAATAAAGTAACTGGCAGTAAATTTTCAACCTTCACTTATCAAAAACAATTTTTTTTTACCTTTAACAAGTATTTCTGCTTTTCAAATGGACAATTAATTAAAAGAAATTACAATAAAACATTAAAAACTGGAATTTTCTGTATTTATTTTAAGGAAAATTTAACAAAACCATTATTCGAATTCTTTATCGTTCTACTTTAATTAAAATAATACTTTTATTTATATAATATTTTTTCGTTTTTAATTGTTAAAGAACTAAATATAAAGAATGAAATGCATTTAGTTCTTTAACAATATAATAATCTTGGGAAATAATAGGATAAATAACATTAGTAAAAAGTTTTTATGAATATAAACAGTCATGTGAAAAATTTAAAATACGTAAAATACAATAAAACTATAGGCCTATATATATATAACATAGAATCTGTTCACTATGCATTTCTAAATCCTGTGACTGATCTTCACCAAATTTTTCATAGTTACTCTCTAGGACCCTGCGGAAAATAGTCCCAGGCTATTATTAAACCGCTACATTTCGCTCTTCCTCTTAATTTCATCCCCCATTAACTCCTAAGCATTTTGACCGATCTTCAACAAATGTTTCATAATTAATCTCTAGGACCAGCGGGAAATATAGGCTATCATTAAACCTGAACATGAACATTCCATTTCCCCCTGATTTCATCCCCTTGAATACTGTATGATAAGCATAATAATTATAGACAAAATAATCAAGTTTTTGATATGATTTTTATTTTAATGTTTGTCATTACTTTTCGTCGGACATACCTGCTAATAAATATAATTTTAAAATAAAACTTTAAAAAATTTATTCGATGATTGCTAAAAGAATTAAAAATATATTCATTTAATTTTAAAATTATTGGAGAGTAATAGAAGGATAAAAATTATAGGATGGTAAAAGTATAATTTGCTTAACCAAGTATTTATTAAGGCAGCCCTCACTATCTGACTTTCTCCATTACGGGCCTGGTTGAGCTCACATGGGTATGATTTAAAAAAAGGTCCTCTTAGTATCCACAGAGTGAAAACAGATAAAAGTGAAAAAAAATGTGACGCGCAATAAAGTAATAAATTGGCGTCATAAAATTGTATATAAAAAGAGATTCAACCTTATTTGTGACGATATTAAATGCAAAGTTTTGCGTTTGATAATGAATGTTAATTGAACTATTGAATCTGTTTTGTGTTCCATAAAATATCAACAAACATCGAAATTTGAATTGAGTCGCGTTACATTGCATTACATTTATACACGCCAAGGTCGCGAGATGCTTAATGCAGGAATTGTAAATCAAATTCTACGTTTTCATCTAATTATGTTACATAAATTTAAGCTATACTATACGGCATGCGATCTTTTAAAAATATTTTATACTAAAGAAAGTAAAATGTATGAGTTTGTGTTTCTATAAAATTACAAAAATTTAACTAAAGGGTTATTATTATTATTTTTATTGTATCTTTGAATTAAATTATATAGACATATATAGAAGGATAACATTATACCGTCACTATAGGATAAATGTGATATACTTTCTCACTATGGAAAAAATATTTACTGTGAAAGAGATGCTCTAGTAGGACCTATGTTAATTTAGTGATAAAATTAAGTGTTAACTGACACTTATTTTTATCACTAAAATAACAGTAACAGTAACAGTTTTGATTGCTCACAAGAGAATTTACAATTATGAAAATTTAAATTTCAGAATTTTATCTAAAAATTCACCAGTGAGATTAATTGGCGTATTTTTTTGTTTTATTTTTTTTATAAAGTACACTAGCAAATCCAAAAGCATCCAGAGGGAGGAGGCTAACTTAAAAATTAAAAATATCTGACTAATTAATAAGTACTTTTTGTTAACACGTGCTCGAGGATTGCAATGAGTATGGTCCAATAAATCATATTTGCATCATAAACGTTTTAAAAATAACGCTTTAAAGTTCGAACAAATAAATTTAATTTTTTTTTCCTGTATCAACGGGGAGGGCTTAAACTCCTGGAGTCTTCGTCTTGGATCTGCCACTGATTAAGTGTATCTTTTCTGAGAATATATTAATATGTATGTATATAAATTTATATACTTGATGAGAAAGAGGAAATAATCATTCTATTCTTTCTAACAAAACTATTAGAGCTAGAACAATGCGATTTATGGGCGATGTTCCATATTCATTGTTAAAAATTATATTAATTCCTCATCCTGCAGAGAACAAAGATGAGAAAGAGTGTAGTTATACAATTAGCTGAACAATTTACTTGTTTGTATCTCTAAATTTTAAAGACATATACTGGGTTAATTGCTTAAATTATGATTTACGATAGAGATTGAGATAGAAATGCATAGATTTATATCTCAATGTCACTATAACTGAGAAAAATAATTCATCATACTACACAGGAAGCTAAAACCTGTCCACGTGATACGTTTACTGATATATTATAATAATGTAAAAAAAAAAATTTTAAATAGACTTTACCAATCGTCTAGCGGATGGATCAGCTCCTTGACTCAATAACTCTTTAGCACACTCGTAATGGTTATTGGCACATGCCAAAATTAAGGCTGTAGTTCCGTCCTGAAAACAACTTTCGTAATAAACAACTTAACTCTAACAATGAATGACATGTTCTAAAAAGAATGTTTTTGACTTTCTTACCTCATCCTTACAATCTACATACACTTTTCCACTGTCCAAAACTTTATTAAGAAGATTGAGATTTCCCCTAATCGCAGCAACGTGAAGTTGCTGAGCGGAAAGAGTTTCCTTCTACGAGAAAAATATTTATAAAAATGAATTTTAAAATAAAAAAAAACAAGATATATTAATTTAAAAGAAAGTTAATCATACTAAATGCATAATTTATAAGTAATTTGTATTTATTTAACACAAAAGAAGGTAATGTAGTTGACTCTTCCTATATAGATGCTATCAGAATCATAATCAAAGAGCGAATAAATTTTGCACGCTACAGGTGTGGTCGACAGGTGGAACAAAGTTGCGTTATATAGTCTAAACAGGTGTTCTTAGAAACTGGAACTCTTCCTCGTGCGATCTATAACGTAGATAAAAGCAACTAATTGCATACAGTCGAGTTCTCTTCCTGAAGAATCAATCATTCAGTTTTACTAGTCATCAAAATAGATTGAAGTTTACAAAAGCGAATTAATGCGAAGAATGGAAACTTGATGTACTGTACATTTCTATCCATTGATTAACGATTAACGATTTAGTGATCAATGAATTATTTTTACAGACTTATTTAGCAAACCATCACTTAGGATTCAGGTTAAGAGTTTTAAGTATATGATGCGTTCAAAATAAAACTACTAAAGGTTTTCGTGTGAAGGAAAAACGATAGATAAAAACCCATTAACTGTATGTAATATCTTTTTGGCGCCAGATCAAGTACTGACGAAATGGTCTTGTTCATTCGACTGTAACCACGATAATCACGGAAGAAAACCCTGCTTCGTACAATACAGTACAACTATCTTCGTCTTTAGTGCGACAACGGAAACGTGAGAAACCTTTGTTTATATAAAATTTAACGGCAATAAAAATAAAATTTTAAATTTATTTTTAACGCCTAGGTCCAACTTACGACCATTATTTTTAGTGGTTTTTTTATTTTTTTATTTTTTACGACAAACACCTAGTTTGGTAGCAGCCCGTAAAATTAATTTTCTGGTTAAGTTATCCAACTGGTTCAAAAATAAAACTGAAATTTACAACCTTTAATTGAATCGTATGAAATAATAATATAGTTTTGAAAACTTGTATCGTTCCTAATATGCTCCTCCCATTTAATTATAAACTGTAAACTATTGTTTTGCTCTATAATAAACTTGTCTATTGTAAATGTAATGAACTATAAAAGTAATATCTTTTAAAATTAAAAAAGTTATTACTATTATTATTATTATGGATGAATAGAAAGTAATATTTACTGAATATCACGTGGAATTTTATTGGCTTAGCAATCAGAATTTAAATTTAAAATATTTAAAATAGATTATTAGATTATAGAATATAGTATATTACATTAATATATACTACGAATTATAACTAAAATAATAATATATCCGTGTAAGCTGTAAGGTAGAGTAAATTTTATTTTAACAGCATTCTGTTAATAATTGTTCTAATATTTGCATACATTTTATATACACATACAGTTAAACACTTGAATGTAATGACTTTTATGGGTGAAACGTAATTAATACATATATAATAATATTTCATTACAATGCTCTATATAATATGTAAAATATACTACCTTATAATAAATTTTTAACATACACTATTGTTTTCTAGCTGTAAACATAAGTAATAAATCCTACAACATGTGCTTCTCTGTAAGGTAATGATAAATTTTTTATCTGTTTCTATCCTATATATCGCTAATTATACAAATTTTATAACATACTTTTAAAAATTACTAATTTAAAAGTATATCGGTATTAAAATTTTAAAATAATATTAATTAATTTATACATTAGTAATCAGACATAATCACTTCTTTATAAAGCTTCAGTAAATGTTATAATATAGGAAACTATACATATATATGTTTCTACTTACTCTGAGAGACATGGAGAAGATATCAACACACACAAATATATTACAACACTATAAAACACTACAACTCTACAACTTCCGTTAAAACCTGGGTTGCAGATGACGTAACGTTATTCTCCTCCTACTCTCTTTCTATTGGTTAATATCAGATTTCGTTTGAAAATTCAAATGAAATTCGATATCAACCAATAGAACCAATTTATCTTTTTCTATCATTGATTTTTTTTTTAAAAAACACATTAGTTATTTTTAAATTTAAACAATATTACACAATTAAAATACTTATATAAACTATTTCTTATAGTTTTATTTTGATTTCTAGTATAAAGATGTACAGTACAGTATTCCCGTAGTGGATAACTATTAAAAATAGATGGAAGATTTTTTTAGAAAGGTATAACAAAGGCCTATTCGGGAATAGCGTTTCTTTAATAGATATATTAAAATACAATGGTAAAATATTTTAAAAATTCATTTTTATGAAATCGGAGAATGCTTCACACGAAACTTAATTGTAAATTTCGGAAGTTTGTCATTGATGTATGGCATCTAACGGTCATTTGGTATGTAAGCGTGCGGAACACAAAAGTCATTCTTTTCATGTGGGCAGTTACTTCCTCATTACATCTGATTATTAAAATTATAAATGTCTGTCATCCACGGTTTGTTTACTTATAAATATTTAACTTCGATCGACATTTCCTTTCTCTTTTGATAATCATCCCGATAAAAAAAAATTCCCAGCATATAATTAAACTAGTTCTTTTCTAGATTTTTTTTCAATTTTTAGATTAAATTTAGCTTTTTATGTCTTCGAATTAACTAATTATTTAAGAGAATCATTAATTTTCATACCATAATAGTCATTGTACCAATAACATCCCAGTTTATAGGTGTATAGTTTTGATGTTTTTAACACGTTTCGCTGATTACTGTGGACTGTTTCACCGTTTAATTTAGTTTATACATTACATATTTTCGTTGATAAAAAGTAGGACATAGATTCATAGAAATTTATAAGAGAAAATATCATTGAACCGAGATTAATCATGTAGATAAGAGCCTATTAGTAACCATGGTATTCGTCATCTCTTCTTATTTTTGTTATCTAAAAATATCTTTGATACAATTTTTTAGTTTTGAGTAAAATATACGATATTTTCCATTATATATAATAATTTAAACAACATTTATATGTAAAATATTTAATATTTGGAGGAGTTTAGAAAGTGTTTCCGTGATAACCGTGACATAAATCCATTGAACTTGAAAACGAACGAATCTGAGGACAATTTAACCTATTTCTATAAAAATTAGAACGGAAAATTATGGTTTAATATTTAGACTATTTTATTTTCAGATTTTGTTTATAGTTAAAATCGTTGATAACCGAACAAACGTTATGCCTCTTTGGAGATTTAGGATGTTCTTGAATTTCAAGTTTGATGCTTCTATCATTATCTCCATTCACTTGTTTCTCTCTCGATTTTTCCCATAAAAAATTGTTTTAAAATCCTTGAACTTTGTTTTTATTGTTAGAAAATCAACTAAAAAGTCTTTTAAATATAATTTATATTTTTCAAATCAGTTTGTAAGTTCTGATTTTGAATATTCTGTGAAGATTTTAAGCTGAAGAGTAGAAAATTAGATTTTTTTTAAATTAAAATATTGTTTTTTTTCTTTATTATCACACAGTATAAAGTTTGTTAATATATTCAAGAACTTAAAAAATAAAAATAAAAAATAAAACAAATGAACCATTGTTAAATAATCTTTATGAGATGCGTCGTAGCGAGACGTGTTTTGTACCATATAATTATCCAATTTTAATAATAAAATATTGAATATTTTGGAAAAAGTATAACTATATAAAGGATTCTTTATTTAAAAGACTTTTTAAAAATTTAATTTATTTTCTATTGGAAAAGAAAAGTGAAAACGCGATTTTTGTTTTGCTTCGAGAGATCTTCTACTCGTATTTTAATGACTAATCATTATGAAAATTATTATTATTGATGTATCTATTACTCTCGTCAAAATATATAAATGATTTTGAATATTTTATAAAATGTTTTAATGGAAAATAAATCTAGTTTTTAGTGTTTTCTATTTATTAACTATGCGCGTAACATAATTCGTTCTCTAGCACATTGCGTAACGATCAAAAATTTAATTAGTAAATTTTGGCATGTAAAATTATATAAATTCAAATTCTTATATTACTCTTACAATTAACTGATTAAAGTATGTATATTTAAGAAAAATATGAAATTTTATCCTTTTGATATCTAACACGACAGCGCTCGCTCGCGTCATTCTATGTTTAACCAATGTAGCTCGCTTTAAGTGTTAATAAAATAATACTAGAAGCGAGATAGTTTTGTTATTTTACTTAAAGTCTTGCAAATATTTAGTTTTAAATTATATATTTTAAAACTAACGTTATTTATTAGTGTTTATAAAGTTTATACAAGATGTTGAGCATTTATTCGTGCGCCATGCGGTGTAAGGAAATATCAAGCTTAGTTTAAATGATGAATACAGCCAATCCTTGATGTAGCGATATCATTTGTTCGCGTCTGAAATTGACACTAAATCGATTGTGACGCTAAACAGAAGGACCGCGAATGATATTAATTACGTAAAATAATAAGGTCTACACACAAGTTTGAAGTTTGTGAGTTTGATAATTTGATTAAGCGATTTGATGATAACTTTATCCTTTGCAACGTAAAATCGTATGTTTTGTACGAAACATTACATAGGCTGAAGCATTCTCTATTTAATATTTAAGATGTATTCATTGGCGGTCTGTGAGGATGGCGCTATATTGGAGACCGATAAATCGAAGTTTGACTGTATTATTATTTAAATTAAACTTATCGAGGTAAATATTGATCAACAGTATTTAAATGGAGGAACTTGTTAAGGTTTTCTGACAAATTTGCATACAATGCAGTCTGTTCATATTCTTATTTTTGTATCTTCTCGAGCGAGCTTCGTGTTTCTTCTATATTATAACACCATAATTAAAATACGAACTTTTTATTATGGACTTATCTCGTTCGTTTCGGGACGATTCAAGATAAATATTCAAGGTCTGATGAAGATCGTGTGCTTTGTTTCGTGATCATTTGTGCTATTTTACACATGAAGGCTATCCACATAGCAGCTTTCGAAACTTTTTTCATTGTTTATTATGGAATAAAAAAGTTTTTGTCGACTTCTTTTGTCTCTTTTATATTTATCCAACGTTTAATACAATTGAAGCTATCTTTTATAATAAATCTTTTCATCTTTATTATAAACTAAAGAATTGTTTCAAACAACGCTTGTTGCTGGATCACGAAATTTCTTATAAAGTTTTTTTATTTCATAACTTCAATCATACAGTTAAAACAATAAATAACATTAGCTTTTGCTGGAGTCGATACAATTTTTATTAATTACATTTAATTTCAGAAAACTTATGAATTTATTTAAGAGTTTTTAATAATCGAACGCACAAACTATCTCATCGCTTCGCATCCAATAGCACGTTTATACATCTTAAAATACATATAACTTACTTTTGCAATAGATAAATATAAGTAATGAAAAAAGGATTAAATTATTGGTAATATAGCTTATAAGTAATGCAACAATATGTACTGTACAGTACATTAACCAACTCTAGAGAAACATATCTTTCCAAATTTCAATAATAAATGAATTTAATACATTTTTAACATACTTTTTAGCGGAGTAATCATTAAAATATTCTATATTTTTCTCATATAAAGCAACATTTTTATTTTTGTTGCAAGCATTAACTCGATAATGATTCAAAATCGCTAGTTGAGGAGGTATTTCTACTTGTTTCCATCCACCAAACATTTTTTGAACTGAGTGTATTCCACATATTTCAATTGTTTCTGGTTTCAGAATTAGTTTAGATCTTTGTTCAGATGGCCATATATTTCTCATTCTTTTCACGTTATCAATAAGCAGAACGGGTTCGTGTGATACCTTTTGACTCTTTGTAATGCAGAAATAAGTGTGCCGAATCATAAATGCTCCCGCATTTTTATTAACATCTTTTAATACAAGATTATCCATAGTTTCTTGCATGGTATAGGTAATTTTAGGAACTATTCGTTCATCTAAGTCTACTATAAGTATATATTCAAATAAATACATGTATCTATAAATACAATCTTGTATACAAGCCAGTTGACCTTGTGCCCAAGTATCTTGTATGTCACTAGGTAAAAACCACGGAAGTAGATCAATAGATACTTTATTTTGAAATAGTTTTAATAAATACATTTTAACCTGTTCGGTTATTTCTTGGGCATAAAATATAAAATGCATAAATCCAATTGTTTTATAGTAGGCAATAAATCGAGCTATGGCATAAGTGTCGTTAAAGGGTCCATATAATGGTCTGACACATACAGCCATTTTATTTTTAGCTGATTTTACAGAAGTATACCTCTGAATAGGTAGCCAAATTTTACGATTGTTTTCGTTAGATATTATCGTAATCAGCTTCGGTATAGGGAAAATCTTTTTAGGAGTGCAGATGAACATGACTGCTGCATGATTCTTTTCGTGATTTTCTTCGATAATGTGATAAAATAAGGTAGCTGCAATTTCGTTATCTTCGTTTTTCACGATACATTTTAGCTTTATGAGCATAGAGATGTTTCTATGAACTATACCTATTAATCGCGCGAAAATTCCCGATTCGCCGATCCTGTTATCCCAAAATGCCGAAAATCCATAGACTCCATTCAAAAATTTGGTCCATCCAACAGAATGTAAAGTTTTGTGAGAAATAATTTGATATCTCCACCAATCTGCATCAAGCTTATTAATTAATGCAACATTAGAAATAGTGTCATTAATTTTAGCTGGTTTTATAACCTTAGACGTTCTATAATTATTCAATAACAATAATATAAAAATCAAAACCACACATAATAATATTATCCAATATTTCTTTCTATGGCACATAATTATTATAAGTTTATTCTAATTTTAGAATATTTAAAGATTTTCACGTGTCTCTTGAATTTTTTAACCATTTATATAATTCTGAGTTATTTCTTCATTTCAAATTACAGGTACCTGAAAATGTTAAATTAAACGTTAATTGCATGTATAACAATAATTACTACTTTACATACGTTGACATTATTTAATATATCATGTTTTAGAGCGTGACATTAAAATTGCATAAATTAAAATTTAAGGTTAAATAATAATGCGTGATAAAAGAAACTTTGCTTAAAAATATACACTTTTTGTAAGCATAACATTAAGAAAATGCATGTTTTTCGCATTAATCGATGTTAATAGAAGCATAAAATAATTTATTTTAGCCTAAATATACTTTAAAAATACCAAAACAGTGTTCTAAAGTTGAAAGAATGCAACCCAATTTCTGAAAATAACACGTTTGACCAGATTAAAGTGCATAATTTACACATTAATTTTATAAATACAGTAGGCTAAATCATTTATTTATTTCTCTTGTATATAATAAAATGAACTCACCGTTAAGATATATAAATCTTGAGAATTAAATCGTCTTATTGGACATTGTATTAAGCTACGCATACATGTAACATCTGTTGTTGAAAACTAGACAGAAAGTAGACTTTTACAGGTCATTTGCTGTAGGCGAGACCCGTTTTCGAAGAAAGTAAACCATATATTTACTGTTATACCGGTAAACTAATATGATAATATGATTAAACAGTCAGGTTAAATGTATAGAAACACATAAAAAAAATAACTTACGTACAGTACTGTGTTTACTTCGTCTCGTGGCTCTATGCTCCATGTCTCATCGTACGCGTGTATTATATTGAGCTTTTGTATTTGAATTAAAAAATATATATATATATTTCTAGAATAAGACAAAATTATATTACCTGGGACCGCCTATTTGAAAATAAGGTATAGATATTATCTATGAGAATTAATTTTAAATATTTAAGCAAGTTTAAGCATCCAGTTTGTGCGTGTCGAATCGCATTGTAACACGAGCGCTTTCTATTTTGTTTGCATTATTAAATGGATAAACTTATTCTTAAAGTGCCTAAAATTTATAAATATTTTCAATACATTTGAGATTTGATTTTTAACTATTGAAATAATGGATTATAGAAATTACGAGTAATGCGAAATGATGCGATGCGACTCAACGCGGTATTAGATTGCAAGCTAACCAGCAAGTTGCTTGCTGAACTAGATTAGATCTTAATGAACCATAAAAACCTTTAATCTTAATTAAACTATGCTTAATTTAGTTAATTAACTATTTTTAATTGATAAAAATGTTTCAATATTTTTATTTTTAATTAATATAATTAGAAACAGAAGCTTATGCAAAAATGTACATAATTTTATATATCCAAAAGTCGCTTCCATATACATATAAATATATAGAAGCGGCTTTTGTGATGTGTTTAAGGTTCCATATATAAATTAATTTATGATAGAATATTCGTCGAAGAGAAGAGAAACATGTTCCAAGTCAGCGTGACCGATCATCATGAAATGCATGAAGTGATCTTTATTTTACACGCGTGACCTCGAACTGTCGTGATGCTCGAGTTCCGGGTCATAAAGCAATTCGTCCATTCACCTTAACAAAATAAAAATTGTAAAAATAAAATTCGACTTATAAAAAGTGTCCATTTTTTTTTTTCTTCTTTAAAAATGGACAATTTATCAAATCGATTTAATCATTATTTTTAGATATTCAAATATGATGATACTTGCGATTCGTGAAAAAAAAATGTATGATTTTTGTCAATCTTATTTTTCTTTAAACTGTTTATAACTCAATAAAAACAATTTTTGAAAATTGGTGAGTGCACTTTCTACTTTTTCATTGTGTACCTTTATGGCCTCACTGAATTTATTTCGGTTTAAAAATATATACTTTTAAAATTATATTACGTATCAAATGATATTTTCGAACTTTTTTCATCTTTATTATGTATATAATTCCAATACATTTGTATACAAAAATATTATTTCTTTGAAATGCGACGCGAAGCGTGCCACTTTCATCTTCAAACGATTTTGATTTAGTCGTCTAATAACTAACATTGAATATACTGTAATTAGCATATGATAATCCTCTATATATTTAAATTATTTTTAAATTATCGTCATAAAAAGTAAAGACGCATCATTTGTTTGAAAATATAGGCCTATGTAAAATATATTTACTTATATAAGAAATAAAAATTAATAAATAAAATTTGCTATAACAAAATTTTTATTAAAATATAATTTTTTCTCATCAGTTAATTTATTGTAATTTTTCAGACGAATTTGTTAACGTAACATTATTTTATTTTAAAATTGCAAAAATATTTTTATTGCGATGTTTTAAATCGTAGAAGTAAGTAAATGCCAACAATTGCATTTTATTACGATGAATAATTGTTCAAATAAAGAGAGTGACAGACAGCAGCACATACTGTACATGTGCAATGTACTGTACACTCAATCCGGACACATTTCTTGGAAAATATTCATTCAATTAAAAAACAAAGCACATAAACATTATACAATGAAAAATTCTCGGTATAATTTCTATCATTCTGATATTCTATTGATGATGATAAAATTTCATCTTAAGTAACATCAAACTTCCTATATTTTATCGGTATTAGTTAATAAAATGGCATATAAAACTTTTAATTTTGATTGAAATAAGTGCTTTAGCTTAAAAAAGAAAAACATTAAGCATTATTTGACTTAAAACAATGTTAGTACTTGCTAATGAAGATAAAGATCAAAATGAATGTGTATGAGATAACATTGTTCATCATGATAAAATAAGATGGTTTTCAAGTTTTATTACACATTATCTTAACTTTTTTTTTAAATAAATTTTTAAATTATATAACATTAGATTATAAATATTGAATAAATAATTCATTATAAGACATGACGTTCAGCATTCGAATTTTATCAAAATTATTTAAAACGTGATTTAACGAAGACCCAGTAAATCCGTATATTTTTACATATTTTATAATAGTGTGGAAGATGAATAATTTTAAAAGAAATAACTTTATGAATATTTTTTAGTCTCCTGGCGCTATTATATTTAAAAGGAAGCAAAATTTAAAAGTATATACTGTATATCCGAAAATATAGCTAAAATTCCTGCGAAATTTGCCAGAAAAACGTTTTAAATGTATTTCTTCTTAATCGATTTTTTAATTATGTATGGTGCGGGATATATAATAATCCCAACCAATCATAATTGATTTTAGTTATAGCCTACATATATCTCTGTATATAAATTGCATGCTTTCTTAGAATCGTATATCATCTTTTAAACATCCAAAAATTTAATTTAGAATCTTCTGTTTATAAAAATGTTATATGTAACTGTTTAATTAAACTAATCTCTAACATCAATTTGAATTAATAATATTTAAATTATACCTTCCCAAGAAGTATAAATATACTCTTGTTAAAAATCCTAAAGTTTATTGCGTTGTGTTATAAAAATTATCTGAAACACGTTAAGTTCCTTCCGTTCAGAATTGAACTCACTTATGCTATTTTGTTCTTTATTTATCAAAAACTGACATAAAGTCTAAATATTTATATCTTTGCAAGCAAACTGATGTTAAGTAATTCGATGACGTTTCGCAACGTTACACTCATGATATATTGTATTTTTAACGGCATAATGGATATCTAGATCATGGGATCGTTGCATCTTTAACAGAAAGCAAAGCGAATAACACCATTAATAATTTTGCGAAATATTTTTCATATTTAGAATACGTAATATCTTGGAATTTTGATAGTGAAAAGTATCCTCGTTTCATAAATATATCATCAAATATTACTTTTTACATTTATTCCTTCGTACTTAGACAATCAATTAGCACCCCCATAATTAGATTAATTATATTATGAGATATAAATTACCAAGCTAATATTCTTGATATAGCCTATGTGGTAGCTTATTGATATTTATTAATTAATTAATAATCTTCGAATTTCTATCCTGATTTAGAAGCTGAACTTAAATACGTTAAGGCTCTAAATTATGTCCCTACATTCTTCATCAAATAATAATTAATTCTTCGAGGATTGGGCGAGGATCTTCGTCTCACGAGGTCTCCTAATTGTTACTTATTTGTAAATCCAGCTTTGTTAATTAGCAAAGATCAGCAATGTTTATTCCAGTATTTCTTCACTGATTTGTAAGGATGCAATGGCGATCGCAAACTAATTGGGTAAATTTAGTCTCCATTTCTTTAGAAGCTAGTCAATAAATAAATACATTGAAAATAACTGATTTTCAATCATTTTCTTTGCTAAATCCTCTTTTTTTTTTCCAAAACACTTAAAAATGAACATCTAATATCATTACATGATTTTTATTTTATTTTTACTTTTAACGATTTGGAAAAGTTTAGATAAAGTAATTCGTTCGATACACATCTGTCTTAATTTTGCTGATCAGCAAAGTTTAAAAGATAATTTTTTGATAACAGAGATCAATAGTCTAGCGAGTTCTATTTTGGTAATAGGAATATAACCGAATAACGAGCGAATCTGCTTTGTAAGCTATTTTTTTTTTACTGTGTCACAATTTCAGACTTGTCGACAGTTCAGGCCCATAAAAAAATATCACATGTTTGATTACAAGTATAGTATATATATTCAAGTCTGCAAATACTGTACTTAATTGTATAGTTCTTATTCTATAATCCCATAATATTAAGGTTTAGTATTTCATCCAGCAATTCCAACATCCAAAAGTTAATGATGTCAAAATAATTTTTTTTGTAATTTTTAAAATATAATTATCATCGTTAACTTCTGTTGGAATTTCTGAATGAAATACTAAACCTTAATAGTAGTCTATATGATTATAGAACAATAACAATAGAAATACAGCAACCTTGATCACAAAAAGTTAATTGTATAAAGAACTGTTATTTTCTAATATATAAGAATATTAGTGTTCATTTTATAAGCAAGTATTACGAGCAACGTGGCAGCTTATATATATTCATGTTTTGATGAGTCTTGCTTTGTTAACTTTATACAGGTATGATTTATTTTATATTTACTGCGTGTTGTTAGATTAATATTTAGCCAAATTCATTTTTCTATCCACTTTGCATTTATAGTATCACATGTTTTAATATATTTCCTAAGAAATTTCTCAGAATCATTAGAAATTTAAATTATTAAGATAGGAATCATTAGAATTTTAAGTTATTTTACTGACTTAAGAAAAAATTATCTAAAATTGTTGTTTGTACTTTTGGACATGACGGAGACATTCTTGGGAAACTAATTGTGTGGACCGAGCATTATGCTGATGGAAAATATGTTTATTTGCAAACCCTGCAGCCATGGAAGGTAATACGTGAAGAGTACAGGATTTCCTCGACATATTGCTGTGTTGTCAATGTCTCTCGTACTAAGGGTAATCTACTGTCGTGCGAGAATGGCTCTACGGACCAGCACACCAGCAGTGGAAGGTATATGCCGCTTTTTTTTTTAAATTAAAAAAAGTAAAGGCGAGGATGAAGCGCACCAGCTGGGAGGTCTTAATACTGCCGATACCAAATACTTTTGGTCTGATATCGATAGCGGCATCGATACCTTTCCTCTGGTATCGGATCTAGAGTCGTTTTATTTTTCACAGAAAGGTAAGATCTGACCGAAGTTGGATTTTGCAGCCGGATCCAAAACCGAAACCGAATTTGGATTTTAAAGTCAGTTTCGGCCGAAATCGAAACTACATGTTAATTATTTTTGGTTAAAATTATATAGTAAAAATATTAATAACCAAAAATCAATAAATTTATTACATTAAATTTCATTTTCAGAATCTATATACGGTATGCTTAGCGTTCAATTATTATTTATAAATAACTCGCCAATTTTTTGAAAAACTTGAAAACACGTTAAAATCTCAAATCAACTAATATAGTATTGGTAACATTTAGTTTATATTAGAAATCAGATTTAATAATTTGTTAATTATAACTAACTAGAATGAAGCATATTATTTATATTAAAATTAAAAGTTTCAATTAAACAAAACGTTTTTCAAACAAAACGTAAAGTTTCAATTAAACAAAAAGTTTCAATTAAACAAAAAGTTTCAATTAAACAAAACAAGCCACAGACAGCGACATTTCAGACAGCCGGCACGATTTCCAGTTTTGATACCTGATACCGATACTGGCAGGTATCGATATTTTAAGATCGATATCAATACCGATACCGGTAGCGATACTTTTCTGGAATCGGGACGTCCATACTCACCAGTGGTCCTCCACATTCTAACACAATGCTCGTTCAGAACAGAATCCAAACAAAAACTAAATGCAATACTCCGCCAGTCCGCAGAAGTCCATGCTTCTATTGCAAATGAATAGTACAGTCGACCCCCCCCCCTATAACACTGTTGATAATTCCGTTTTATATGAATTCCATGTTGTACGAGTCACTTAGATTTTACAAATACGTATGCCGGACTGTGAACGGCTCACGTATTTGTAAAATCTAAGTGATTCGTACAACATGGAATTCATATAAAACGGAATTATCAACAGTGTTATAGGTGGGTCGACTGTATATGCAATAATAATTGGCAGGACGCGTAGCTGTCATCGTACATGCAAATTTGCAATTGCTATTCGCTTGTGAATGGTACGGAAGCCTTACTACATTGTCTCTGGAAAGACACCGTTGCAGCTGTTCCTCCTTGTCTCACGACCAATGATCTGGTGTGGGGCATCAAGACCCTGCATCCACTAGTGATCCAGTAGATAAAACCCAGGGGCGGACTAAGGCCTAGGCAACCTAGGCACGTGCCTAGGGCCCGTAATTTTTGGGGCCCGGAAATTAGGTTTTTAATTTTTTAATTTTAAAAATAGGCTCGGAATTACAATGTTGCCTAGGGCCCGCTTTAGCCTTAGTCCGCCTCTGATAAAACCACAAAACACTGGTAATTGGTCGTCGGTTTATGTCTGATTAACGGCTGGCCGCTTAATTTTTCGAGATTTTTTCACTGATCTTAAACCTAAATAAGGACCAGTTTTCCATAAAAGTCTTCCCGGGAGGAACCTTTCCCATGGCAGATCGCCCGTTTCGTGTCTCAGCCCTATGAACGCCTTTTGTCAAACTGTGTCAGTTGTGCGTCAATAATGTCTTTTAATGCATAGTATAGGCATTCTAAGACTCCAAACAACAGGTACACGAAAAATTCCAAATGTAGTGAGCATCTGCGAGGCTTTTTACAGGATATTCGTTTAGCGACGTTAATGCATTTTAGTGGCATTACCTGGCATGCAATCAGACTACAGCTGTAATCAATTAGGCCTACATACTTGTCTAAGATCTAGTTTTATACAAAATTTTGCAGTAATTAGACAATTTTATCTCAGTGCGTAACTTTTTTGGCAATGAGTGTGTTATAAGTTAACGTATCAATTTGGTTTTTGCAATGAACAGTTATAGTTTTACGGTTAGGCTATATGTTAAAATATTTATTAGTGTACAAAGAATCTATTTTTATTTGTCACAAATTACTTAATTAGATTTTATTTAATAAAATCTAATTTAAAGTTATCATCAATATTAAGAATATTTTTGTATATATGTATTCTCAATTTTATATCTAATAGGATAAATATAACTAATTTTGTAATTCTCTCTTCACCTTTTCACATCATGAAATGTTGAGAGAGAAAAAGAAATGTAAAGCTATTTTGAGTCAGAACCAAACCTTGTATTCCTTAATGGAAACATGATTAGTGTCAAAGTAATTTGATCAATTATATCGTATATTTAATGATCACTAACAGGAACATCAAGTGATTTTTATTGGATAATGGATTTATTTCAGTTGAATCTTTAGTCTTTGCTACTTAAAGAGCATTGTTCTAAGTATAGATTCCATCTTAGTAACTTTTTTTTTATGTTCAAATCGAATAGATGGTCATTAAACACTTTGGACTCTAGAAAAAAAAAATAGAAATTGTTGACTAGGAAACAATTTGTAAATAGTAATTAACTAGTAATATAACAGCAACATCTATACATACATGTAGAAAGATATGAAATGGATTTAAGGATCAACTTTCTAACATTTTTTTTTTAGATAATTTGTTTACTACTTAAGTTTATGGTTGTGAAATATACTACAGACATGTTATATATACATATAATAGTAAATTATATTTATGATAAACTATTGTATGGTTATTTTCTATATGTCTTTATTATAAAGTATTGACTAAACTTATACTTTATCATTTTTTTTTCACATGTAGTATAGAAATTTGTAATAAGATACATAATAAGGTTGTAATAAAATATTAATTTTAATTAATTTAAAGTACATTAAAATATGAAAATAATCACACAATATGTAATTATATTTTAGAAAATACAAGGGAAGTGGTGCTTTCATGGACCACTTCCCTTGAATTTTGAATTTTGAACTTGTAGCACACCACTGTTTGTCCTACAAGTTATAGAAATCAAGATAAAAAACAAGAAACATTTTAAAAAACAAAAGTTTTTTAGATTTTATTATAGCCATTTATTAGGGAAAATAAACATAAGTACTAATTTTGGCCATCAGGGTGCATTTTGGCAATTTTAAACTACATTATTAGTTTCTTGGTAAAGACCTCTCCAGAGCCCTTTATATAGTTCTCTCTTAATTTCTATAGTATACAAATGTAAATACATTTTCAATATATATACTTGATAACCTCCCTTTTATCTTTCCTGCACATACACTAAAAATGTTCATTAGAGAAATGAAGTGTAAAATTCATCTGAAGTAAGCTGCAAACCTAAATACTTCTAGAAGCATACCACCATCCAAGTAGCATTATTACAAATTATAACATATTACATAACAATTATGATACTTACCACGAAAATGATGATAACAGCTATGGTGTAAGAAAGAAAAAAATTTGTACCAAATTTCAGCCACCAACTAAAAACAAAGAAAAGTTGTTATTAACATACATTTGTACAATTTATGTTCAATATGTTTGACATAATAATGTATTAATTTATAAATTTTTTACAATATTATAACCGAATTTTGCATAATTACTAAAAATTTTATAAAAATAATATCTTTAAAACATATTGTTCAGAATACATTAATCATTCTATACAATTTCTTCATTCAGATATCTGATTTAAAGTTCATTCAAAAAATTCATAGAATCAGAATTATACATTTCTTAAACATAATAAAGATTTAAAANAGGTTTTTTGTGTATATATACATACATATATATATATCCGTATTCATATGTATAATTTACATACAATTGTGGCAAAACTTATGTATGAGCAGGGAATTTTTCAATAAAAAATCAGTCAATGAAAGTGTCCTGGAGGTACTACCACTGATATAATAAACTTTTCTTGAGCGAGTCACAGAAAATATAAACAATGTCCACTGAGAAACCTGCAGCAAAGTTTTGTCATCAAACTGATGTCATGCTCCATGATTTTCTGGAAGGTGACACTTGGTCGTTTCTTGCTACATTTTCTGTTACTACTAATGGCATATCCATTTCTGTAGCAAAGTCATCGTCTCTACTAATGAGATCTGCAACACTATTGGTGGGATGACAGCAATCGTCTGGTGTTGTTTCTATATTTGTTACGTCCAGTTTAATGGGAGGTACTGTTTGTGTCGCATCATGCAAAATTTGTCCATCCGAATATACTCCTTTTTGATCTGCTGCTTTTGTGCTGTTTGAATGGTTTGTTTTAGAGGAAGCACTATTAGTTGATTCAGAATTTTTGGAGACCATCAAGGCACTAAGATCGGTTTTTAAGTTTTCTTGATTCCGAGAATCAAACAGTGATAGAGGATTTGATTTTATTGAATAATCTTTCTTAGCGTCAAGACTAGAATCTTGATAAGGTGGAGGCAAAGAAGTCCTATCTGGGTTTTCTTCTTCTATAACACTCTCTAAAGTTTTTCCGTGGAAGTTACTACGAGGGCTATCATACATTGGTTCTAACTCAAATGAAGATGCTTTTGATGGATCTATGTGTCTCCATCGAAATTTCTGAGGAGAAATTTGTCGAGCATCTTCTGACTCATTTATATCAAAGTTTTTTCCTTTTCCATTCTTATGTTTATGTTTTGAGACACTCTGAACTGTAGCAGACTTTAAATTTGGTTTCTTTTCTTGCAAAAGACAACCTGTTTCTAACCAATCTGGTTCTCTACAGATTTCTACTTGTGGTTTTAATTTATGGATCTGATCTAATGATGTTCGTTTATCCATATGATCAGAAAATTTATTCAAATAACAAGCAGTTTCTCCCACTATTTCTGGTTTTAAGAATGCTAGATGAATGGAAAAATATTAAATTAATATAAAAACTTTCTTAAAATATTCTTAAGATAAATTTTTTAAAAACATTTTCAGTTTATATACTCACATCTAAAAGAATTGCTTTCTGTGTTAAGTTTAGGTTCCTGTAAATAAAATTCATATATTAGATTTCCAAAAATGTTTATTAAAAATCCATTATTGTTAACTATCATTTAACACTAATTTAAATGAAAATGCTTTCAATTGATCTGTGTCTCTTATTAATGAAATATCTGAAAAGATGTAGAGAGAATATTTAGATTTCTTACTTGTATATTGTGAGAGATCAATTAATTTACATATGTATATATATATTTTTAATAAGAATACTTAGATCTTTTGTCTCCCCATATTAAAGTTATGCAATGTTGCTGCTTCTGTATTATTATTTTAATTAATTAAATTATTTAGAATATTTTTTAATTAAAAAATAATCCAGAAAAGAAAATTGTGTACATTATCATTATTTTTGCTATAAAAATCCATCTATTTTTCATCACACTATTCAATTAGTTTATGGAAAAATAAAAATTGATAAGGTCTTTTGTGTGCCAAAAACTTTAAATCAGAAATATTTGCAAGACTAAAATGTTTATTGAAAAAATGTTTCTATAAATTATTTGATAAGAATTTGTTAAAACAAATTCATCATAAGGCTAATCTTGTAATGTGAAAAGTTTTCATAGCTGTATTAAAAAGTATTTTAAAAAATATTTTAATGTTTGTTAAACATTATAACAAAATAATGATAATTATGTTGTCAGAAATAAATTTTTGTGTATTTTTAATTATTATTTTGCATCATCAGAAAGCAAACTAATTTTTAGCAATAACAATCAAATTATACTTAAAATATTATAATCTTCATAAATACATATTTAATAATTTTATTTTAAAAAATGTAAGAACTGATCACTACATGATAGATTTATCAGATAACAATAACAAATAATTTGTTATTAAGGAAAAATAATGTTTAAATACATTATTATTATCCATATTACAAAAAATATACATACAAGTATATACATATATAGCATACTTGCCAACCTTTCGTTATAGATGAGGCTGACTTGATTGCCAGAAAAGGCTGATTTTGGCATGCAAAGACTGAGAAATAAAACAATTCGTTCAAAGATTGCTGACAAGATTTATGGCACCTTCAACTATTTATTCACTTTTCATTCTATTTACCATAATATGAGGCTTATATAACTTTATAATATTGGCTTTTCTTACTAGACAGATTACTAGTATTAAAAAAGTAGAATACAAAATAATAGTTCTTTGTACCGTATGTAATAAGAATTATATAAAAAAAAGTTAACTATCTATAAAAAAATTACAAAAATTAATAATTCCTTATAGCATATAGCCTAGAAAATACAATTTTGGCATGTGTTAGATTTACTAGAACTTTCAGATTGTCTTTCTTGTATCTTCTATATATACACTATATTTTGAAACAAAATTTCATAGGTAACAATTTTTTTAAATTTAATCAGAAATTTAAAGCTTTTGTTGAAATTATTGTATGTGTAAAAGAATTCTTGTACATCTAGCAAAAAAGAACTCAAAGAAATTGTCAATGTTGAAGAGTGGACCAACCAAACTTGGGTTTTAGTGTTGGTCATAAATCCATGTTTTTGAAGATAGCATTAAAGTGTTATGTTATCTCAAAAAATGTAGAAAATTTATAGCTCAGGTTGATAAGGTGACAACTGCTTCCAAAGATGGATTCTCAGCCCAAAAGATGGAGAGTTGGTAATAATAGTCTACCATCATTATGTAAAGTACAGTACATATATAATGCTTGTAATTAAAGTTTGTGTTTCCAAAAGATATAACTTGGAAACTAATCAGCAGAATGGCATCATATTTCACATAGAGATTTCTGTAGTGATGGAGTGTTATTTGAAAAAAGAAGTTAGTTACAAAAATGTCTGCTTGGATGGTAAATGAAGCTGCAACACTATAGTGGATAACTCAAAATGTCTTAAAAGTTACAATATGCATGTACAGTACACTGTGTGGTTATGCAACAGCATACTCAATATGCTGGTTTCTGAATTTCTGCAGGTGTGACTAAACATGCAATTTGGTAATTTTAGCATGCTGACAACAGAAACCAAAATATTGAGCTTGCTGTTGTATAACTTGACTACTCAGTGTAACTACTCAGTGTGCATCATAAGTTTGATACATTTTGATTTATCCACTACCAGAAACTTCAGGTGGGGCAAAACTGTTTGCTAGTTTTTTATTATAAAATTTATAATAAAAATAACTACTTTTTTTATAATGCTATTTAAGCATTATAAAAATGTAAGCATGGGCTGCTTTCTTCTCACTTTTTGAAATTCTCTTTAGGGGAAGCACTTGCCCCTTGCCCATCTGATTGCACCACTGCCATTTACCATCATAGTGGACATTTGTAACTAACTTTTTTGTTTCAAATAAAATTCCATTATCTGAGAAGTCTCCATGTGAAATATGATGTCATTCCACTGATTAGTTCTTGAGTTATATCTTTTAGAAATTTGAACTTTAATTATAAACACCTTGTATATTAATAAATTAAGAAATTGAATGACTTAAGTTTTAAAAAATTAGAATAAAATATTTTACCTCTTTTTCATCATCATTATCATTAGATGTTTTTGGACAACATAAAAGAAATGCCTGTAAATAAGAATTTAATCAGAATAACAAATAAAAAGGAAACTAATAAGATCATAAACAAAACTTTAGTAGTATGAATTAACTATATATTACTTAAAAGTTTACATATTAAATCTTATATAAATATATGGTATAATATGTAATTACACCATATATACAGTATTTATATAAGCTTTTTCATTAAAAAATTAAACTAAAATTCTGAACATTATTCCTGTTAAAAAGATAAAACAATAGTAGTAATAAGAGAGTAATGAACAACTAATTTCCTTATATAAAATAAGGAGACCAGATTTTAACATTGGTGAAGCAGGGCAAAATTTATGGGGGAAGTGGTTGTTCTGTTAAAAAAATTGTTCTAGAGCAACAAAATTTTATTATCAAATAATGCAAAAATTGTATTGTATTATATTTTTTAAAATTTCAACATAAGTAAAATTTACAAATATAATAAATACAGTATATATACTATTATAAATCTTTAAAAACTCTTTATTCTTTTGCATATTTCTCAGTTGAGTGAATTTTTTTTTGTAGATTGCTGTCATTGTTTAAAATGTCATGAAATTTTTTGCAAGAATTTGTTAAATTATATTTCACACATAATATGGCTTTCAAAGTCTCAACACTTAATTGTGATTTATCAGATGTACACACTTTATCTACTGTAGAAAAAAAACTTTCATGTAACATGCAACAAACAAAATGTTTGCTCGTTTAGACAGCCCGTGAACACACGCTGCTCCATTGCTACAGCTGCGTGCCCCAAACCATTTTCTGTCAGTCTTTGCCACAAACACAAAGGGTTTTGTCAGCACAAGAATCCCAGCATTCTTTATTTCTGATGCTCATGCATACATTGGTACAGATATGTGTGATACAAAATGATCTTTATGAATCTTGAACATTAGATATAAGTTTATGACACATAATTGATGAAAACTTAATCTTTCCAAAACTCGGGACTTTTTAAAATTCCGCAGGACAAATTGTTAAAAATTGGGACTGTCCCACCAAAAGCGGGACATCTGGTCACCTTAATATAAAATCATCTATAAAGATGTTTTTGAAACTGAAATATTATGTATAGGAATTGATTTCATAAGCTTCAAATAATAATTTTAAGAAATTGAAGTAGAAAATTATAAAATGTAAAAAATTATGTGGCAGTATCCCAATAAATTACATATTTAATTCTTAACTTAAAAATGCAATCTGCATAGCCTAATCTGATAGTAACTAAATTTCTAAAATACATAAATTATTTATTACTGTATACCAATTTTTGTATTTCATAATATCTGTTCATAGTTAATTGATAATATCTTGTGAAATAAAATGAAATTATTGACAAATTATGATACTCACATTTTCACTACAGAATGTATAACAAAGAAATACTATCAGCCCCTAAGGGAGAATTAGCAAGCTTAAATGAATATATTATTATATATTTTATATTTAAAAAATGATATGAAAATATAAAGAAACAAAATGACATTCAAAACAATATTTACCAAAGCTGCAGAACTGAATGAAAACAAATATTTGAAAATATCATCTTCATAATTTATATATAGAATACTAAATACAGATGTCAAAAGAAGAGTTACAGATATCACTAATGAACGACATAACAGTTTGGTTCTATTAAAAAAATATATATATTAATAATTACAATTATTGGAAATTTTTCAAAAATAAATGTTTGTTTTTATTAACAAAAAAATTGATAATGCTAACAAGTTTATATCTTTAAATAATAGTAAAAAAATATTAAATTACCTATTTCCAATGATTTTTTGTTTGGGAGATTCCTCTTTTTGATGATGCCTAATTTCTGCTTTGACTGTGAGAAACAGAATAAGCTGAAGCTGTTTGAAAGATAAAATATTATTCATTTATTTTAATAAAAATATTCAATTATTGTATAATTTTATGTAAAATTTTTAAAAATATTTTTACCATTTTATATTAATAAGCAATTTAAAAATTAATAAAACTTCAAGAATTAAAATCTTTTAAATACAACTAATTAAATTCAAATCTATTGTTAAATTCTAAATATCACTTTGCATAAAATTTTTTTATATTTACAGGTATACCTCACCTTATGTCGGTAATTGGTTCCAAGAGAGGCGACATAAGTCGAATTTACTTGTCTCCGAATCTACTTGTCACTAGGCTAAACCATAAATTACCATTCCCGATTTTGTATTTTATTTATTAATGCATTTTTAATAATATATGGTTAATAAGAATCTATTTTAAGCTTACAAAAAAGATAAATTTTAGTTTTTCATATAGTACAGAAAAAAGCAATCTAAATTTACAAATGCAGGTACTGTAAATACAGTACATACTTGTAAATGTATTTACAAGTATAAAATCATATTAAAAATATTTTAATATGATTTTATTACAACTTCAATATTTTTGGCAGACAGATGTAAAGTTGAATAAAATGACTTAAACTTGATTTTTATTTTTCCATATACTTTTTTGACAAACGACATATAATCGGGAATGACGTAACTCGAAACGACGTAAGTCGAGGTATACCTGTATTTGCATTTGTTAATAAAAATTATTTGATATAATTTACTGTACAATAACTTTATTATGCTCACTGAATTTTGTTTAAACATTTAGCTTATTAAATTAATAAATTTTAAACTTTATTACTAATATTTATTAAAGATACTTCAACATTAGTAATGGTTAGCTGTTATTTATTATGCAGACTAAATATTACCAATATTATACAAATATCAAACAGAATAAAATTACTATAATATATTATTTATTCATAAATTCAATGTTTTAATCTATTTTATGTAAAATAATGAATAATAAATTAACATTAAATATTTTATTTGCATTTAAATTATGATTTTTCTTTGCATTGAAAGACTAATGAATTTTAAAACGTTTTAAATTATTTTATATGCTTGTTTGTTTTAATAATAACTAGCAGCAATATCTGTGACTACATCTGTTAAAATGTAGCCAACTTTTAGTTAACAAAGATGTGTAAGAATCAATAACACTAGAAATGATTTTTTTACTGGTTTGTTTACTATAAATCTGATTGGACTGAAATTTTTTGAGTTTTTTTGACTTGCTGCTTTTGCCAAATAGTAAAAATTGTAATCAAATAACTCTAAAGGAATCTGTGAAAACTGAATGTATAACCAATTATGGTCAATGTGATATAATTTGGTACCATACAATATACATGTATTTTGTCATTTCTCTCTGATGACAGACTTTGATGCTGCTTTCAGAATTTTCAATCAGATGGAGCTGCTACTGAAAAATAACATTCTAGTAGAAAACTTTATATGTTGATCATCAAGAGTTGAGAAACACATGCTTCTTCACTTGAGTATAGCTCTTGATCCAGAAAATACCTTGCATATCTTCAAGATTTATTCAAAAACTAATCAGGGAATGAACAATGCTGCTGAATCTGAAAGCAAATAACTATGCTCCTGAAAAAAGTCCAGAATCAAATCCATCTGACCCAGGGCCAGATGGAGATAAGACTTCAACTTAAGTTCCTGCTGTTGCTGACCTGACTGTCAATCATTTCTCTGGCTCAAGTACTATTAAGGATGCTGGATAATCTAGATGAGGAGGGAAATAAATGGAAAAGAAAGGGCATAATTCTGCACACCAGCAGCCACATCAGTTGCTGCAATGTCTATGTATCTTTCAATTAGACAAAAGGAAGAGGCAGCTCAGGTCTATAACATAATGAAATTCTGCATTGACATATTTCACCTGATACCTTGATACATATACTCTATCAAATTGTCATCAAGGTAGTTAATTCAGGTTTTCTTCAATGTACTGGACAGGCAACAATATACTCTTGAATTTTGTATGAAGTGATTTCATCAAAACATCAGCCACCTAAATTTCATATTGCAGCTTTATGAAGACCTTCTCAAGAACTATTCAAAAAGTAGACAATGCAAACAAAACTCAGAAGAAATTTTCATGGAAACAAGACTTTTGGCATGTTTCATTTGCAAAAAGCCAGTTTATGGAACATGTTGGCATAAGAAGCAATAGTTTTGCAAAAACAGTACTGCTGACAACTGAAATAGAACTTTTGTGAGGAGCTATCCAGAAGTAATTTTAAAATATAGTAAGATATATTGAATTTTATTTATAAAATGCATCTTGTCATTTTGAACTATGAACAGCAATACACTTTTGATAAAAAGTCTGAGGTTAATTTAAAGTATTGATTTATCAAACTAGTCAGCTATTTTTACTTACATTTACATATGCATTTAGTTATTGCACATGTGGGATCAAAATGACCCCAACTGTAAACAAAGATAGCATCTACTTCAGTAAACTGAGTGTTAAATAGTTCTGTATTTTTTTTATCAATGTCAAGACAAAGATTTTCAGAAAGATACATGTACTCTAATATACAGTACATGTATCTATCATTATGTAATGTAATGTACATTAGAAATAATTAACATCGCATCAAATACCCCAGTTTACAAAATGTTGTACATGTTTTGATCATAAGAGTCATTTTAGCCTATGTAACAAAAGTTGAGAAGTCATACTAATGGTGTATTTAGACTAACAAAAAATTCATACCAGTTACTGTCTGACACTACTGTTGCAAATGTAAACAGCTTTGTAAATCAACTGCCAAAACTTCCAGAAGTCCTCATGCAACACCTGTGCTTGCTTATGTAAACAAGCCTAACTGTAGTCACATGAAACACTTCCAGTTGTTTCAATAATTGGTGAGATGCGAGTTCAACATATTGGAAGACAAGAAGAAATGAAACAATGCAAAAATAAAAATTTTAATATCTCTGTATGAAGAAAATACATTATTAAGGGATGTTTGTCCTCAGTGGCATATGGTGACATTTGATGATAGGGAAGTTGTGCTGGCCCTAGATAGAATCATGGGAAGCATTATACGATATTTTGATGTATAGCATCCATGAGCTAAACACGTGAGGTTGGTGCTCTGTAAAGCAAATGTGTATAATCTGGCTGCTTTACACAATTCAAATATTTTGCCACGGAAGCTGTCCCATATTTGACAATACAGCACTTCCATTGGAAATATGCATATATGAATTTATATTCAATAGCAATCTTATCATTTTTTTTTCACATGTAGTATAGAAATTTGTAATAAGATACATAATAAGGTTGTAATAAAATATTAATTTTAATTAATTTAAAGTACATTAAAATATGAAAATAATCACACAATATGTAATTATATTTTAGAAAATACAAGGGAAGTGGTGCTTTCATGGACCACTTCCCTTGAATTTTGAATTTTGAACTTGTAGCACACCACTGTTTGTCCTACAAGTTATAGAAATCAAGATAAAAAACAAGAAACATTTTAAAAAACAAAAGTTTTTTAGATTTTATTATAGCCATTTATTAGGGAAAATAAACATAAGTACTAATTTTGGCCATCAGGGTGCATTTTGGCAATTTTAAACTACATTATTAGTTTCTTGGTAAAGACCTCTCCAGAGCCCTTTATATAGTTCTCTCTTAATTTCTATAGTATACAAATGTAAATACATTTTCAATATATATACTTGATAACCTCCCTTTTATCTTTCCTGCACATACACTAAAAATGTTCATTAGAGAAATGAAGTGTAAAATTCATCTGAAGTAAGCTGCAAACCTAAATACTTCTAGAAGCATACCACCATCCAAGTAGCATTATTACAAATTATAACATATTACATAACAATTATGATACTTACCACGAAAATGATGATAACAGCTATGGTGTAAGAAAGAAAAAAATTTGTACCAAATTTCAGCCACCAACTAAAAACAAAGAAAAGTTGTTATTAACATACATTTGTACAATTTATGTTCAATATGTTTGACATAATAATGTATTAATTTATAAATTTTTTACAATATTATAACCGAATTTTGCATAATTACTAAAAATTTTATAAAAATAATATCTTTAAAACATATTGTTCAGAATACATTAATCATTCTATACAATTTCTTCATTCAGATATCTGATTTAAAGTTCATTCAAAAAATTCATAGAATCAGAATTATACATTTCTTAAACATAATAAAGATTTAAAATAATCTTATCCAACAGAATTTAAGAGCTGTTGAAAGAATTTTGTATGCAACTTTTAGAAACAGTAGCTTTGTTAGATGAGATGAATATTCTAATTGAACATATTGTCTATATTAGAATGGCTCTAATAATTACTCTAATGTATATATATATATATATATATATATACATATACA